TATGTACATTTTTTGACAATTTTAGTGGTTTTCGCGCAATATTGCGTGCACAAAAATTACAAAAATAATATTTTCTCAAAAATGGCCCCAAATATTGTCTTTAAACCTTTGGTAGGGATTGTGCAAAATTTACTCTATAAGATTACATAAACGACATATTGCTCTATTCGGTTTTTAAAAAAATTTATTTTTACTTGTCTCGTGTAAATTTATATTAGCGGCAATTTGTTCATGTGCATGTGCTTTAAATAATGTCATAAACTTTCTCGAAAACTAAACTGTTTTCTGTCAAAACTAGCTCAAAAATCATTCAGCATTTTCAGAAACGCTGAAACGTCATTTTCTCAATTTTGTCTTTAAACATTTCGAACGGATAGTGCTAATTTGCACTCTTTAATATGACGTGAAGCCATTTCAGTGTACATTTTGTATTTTATCAAAAATTACTCAAATTTAAAGGTTTAGAAATATCTGTCGCCGTTGATATACACATTTTCAGCAATTTGTAAACACTATTGTATTGGTGAGTTAAAGTACTTAAAATGACATCAAATGAAGTTTTTCAAAAAGTCAAAAATTTGTCTGGGAAAAAGAATTTCAAATCTCGAATTTACAGTAACAGCGCTTAAGCACTGTTTTTTTTTAAAAACGGCTCCGAACGTTTCAAAGAAAACTGCCATTTAGGGCGAGGTTTTACCGTTCAGTAATATTTCCGCTTTACAATAAGGAAACCGATAATGTACTTTTGAGTGACGATAGATAGCAGTTGGCAAGTGAATGTAGCAAGCCCGTATACCAATCCGAGACTAAAGGAAATAGAAAACTAATTCGGGAAAGTTGGTGGTGTGCCATTCTGTTGCACTACTAGTTCTACTTGTGTTAGTCTTGTTGGCTCATCAACCCGGCAAACAGCTTATCAGATTTATTCATATCTTTCCATCGTTTTCATCTTTAATGTCAATAAAAGGCCTTAATTTGTTGGGAATTAGAATAGGTATATCAGAAGGCTGACAAATGTAGGGGTTTGGTGGTGTCTCTTTGCGGGCATTACGTTTGGCATCCCAAGACTTCCTACTGTAAGGAGGCTCAATTCGATGGTAGGGGTATTTATGAAAAACGGGGCTAGTCGGACTCAGCTTCAGCAACGTTACGCAGTGAATGAAATAAGTTATCTCGGCTTTTTGGCAAACAATGACGCGCGTACGTACTTGTCCAAAGCCTTCTCTTTAGTGAAAGTACTGGGTAATCAGTTCATAAGGCAACCCTGCTGATCGTGGCCCTGAGGGAAAAGTGAAAGAATTGCAACATTGCTTCTGAGACATCTCCTTTTTATTTCTGCGACAAACCCTTCAGTCACCACCCCCTTCCTGTGGTCTGAGTAATATCTGCTCAAAGCAAAGGAGGCAGCGCGTTAATTCACTGTTTTGAAGTTTACTTGCGGTGTCCCTCAGCATTCAGCAACGCAGATTTGTGCTGGACTAGTATTTCCGAACACAATCTTTCAAAGAGTGCCAGGCAGATTTCAGTGAAAAATGTTCATCTTAGTCTATTCTGAACAAGAGAACCACATTGCGGTTAATGGAGTGGTATGAGCTAGTGCCAGGCAGTGTGTTTGATCGGAAACGCAGTCGCCAAAATACACAGCGAAAACTAAAGGAAATTCGGGATGTTCTTTCAACTTTCCCGAAATATTAAGAAAGTTTCAGCAGAAATGTAATGTTTCGATCGGAGGTGCGCACATTGCCACAAATTAAAAATTGAAAATGCGCGTTCAAACAGCAAACATCTCAGAGGCTTAATGTTCCTGATCGGGCTGCTTGCATGAAGTTCTACGAATTGGCTACGACGATCTGTTTGTTACTGAAGATTATGAGGCACTTGTAAAGTGTATTTTAGTGATGAGATCATCGACATCTTGTTTTTTTGCTGCCAATATTGCTCTTTCACTCAACCAATTATGGTTATTGAACTGTTGCGCTATGGTCGAAAAAACACACTGAAGTAGGTCCTCTTTCGAGTCTGTGAAGTGACAGAAATCTGTGGGTAATGTATGAATCCAGTCGAGGTGTCAACTTGCGAATTCACCAATTTCAATGTCTAATAACTGCATCGAAAACACATTTGCGGTTTGATCTTGTTGCAGAAACACTTGCATGTTAGTTGTCAGGGGGGAAAAGATTATCTGCGCACGTTTTCTTGAGTTCCAGAATCCCTTCCCGTCATTTTAACTATAAATAGTTAAAAGATGAATAAAAGTTTAACATAAATAAATAAAAATAAATTTTAAAAATCGCAAGATTATCAATATTTGAAAAATAGTCATTTTTGTTTCTTAGTTATCGAAAGCGTTCTTGGATAGGTACACGAATTGCAAGTATGATTTATCTGCATTGCTAACAACATAGCAACTCGTCCTTACCTCTACTCTTACCAATACAAGCAAAAGGAGAGTTCAACGAAACGTGCACATAGTGAATTTACATTTACATCCAGAAGCAAAACAAGGGGCCATCTCAGTATTTGCTCAATGGATCAGGGAAACTGCACAAAAACCTAATCGAGATGGGGGTCATTGACCCGAAAGTTGAAGTACATTATTTGTTACAAACATATCAAGTATTTAAAAAAATTACACTATACAAATGTAAACTTACTCATTATTTATCACTGTTTTGTTAAAATACATTTTTTTTCTTTTTAATCGATGTAGTCTCTAATTGTATAGAAACAGTTTACTTTTAACTTAAATTTGTGAGCAGACTTGAATTGTTTAATGTCATTTGGCAGTGTAAAGTAACGTACATGTATTGCTGTGGATTTCTGATAGTGAGCTGTTGATACTGACACTTTATGAACGTGATTTTTACGGCGTGTGTTGTAATTATAAATATCAGTATTGCATGAAAATATGTTCCCACCGGTAAGTCACTTTTGACAAACATTACAGATTCGTAAATATATAGGCAAGGCAGTGGTACGATTCCATGCTTAATGAAGAGAGGCTTGCAAGGGTAACTCGGATGGCATTTTTTCATTATTTGAATAATTTTCTTTTTCAATCTAAAGGTCTGAATACTACATGATGTGTTTCCTCAGAATTTTACACCATATCTCAGGCGGGAATGTACATTTGCAAAATATACGTAACGAGCTGCATGAAGGCTGACAGAATTTGATAGAATTCTGAATGCATAACAGAATGAATTTAATTTAGTGTTTAATTCTGTTATATGTACATTCCATTTGACTGAATTGACAGACCTAGAAATTTTGTTACCTGAACATCACATAATTGCATATTATTCTTTGTCAATGGAGCGTGCGATTGCTGATTTGCAAAAGGCAAAAATGTATTGAAACTGTTTTCCCTTCATTAACTATTAATTTGTTATTACAAAACCGATTTGAAACTTCTAAAATCGTACTCTCTCTCTTCTCTCTCTATATATACAGTATACATATATACTGCCCATTATATAGTATATATATAATATATATATATATATATATATATAAACTGCAAAGAACATTCGTGTGTCATCGGCAAACGAAACCGTTCTGTCGTGTTTAATAGGCGACGGCATATCTATTACGTAGCATAGGACCTAAGATCGAGCCTTGCGGAACCCCATATTCAATCGGTAAGAAATTGGAAAGATAAGTAAATAATGTCTTTTCGTGCCAGTACGGTATTTCTACTCTTTGAGATCGACGTTTGGGGTACCAAGTTATCCAATCTAGGGCGATACCCCGAATTCCATAAGACGGTAATTTTGATAGCAAGATGTTATGGTCAATAACGTCAACAGCTTTCGAAAGATTTAAAAATATTGCAATGGATCCTTCATTTTGGTCCATTGATGAAGGAACATCTTTAAGAAAAGAAAAAAATGGCAGTTTCCGTAGATTGTTATTTTCTAAACCTGAGTTGTGACTGTGTAAAAACGCTTCGTTTTTCCTGAGAAAAGTTTCTATTCGCGTATAGGAAAGCCTCTATAATATTTTAGAGAAACCTGACAAAAGAGATTGGTCGGTAATTTTGAATTTCATTTTTGCTCCCTTTTTTAAAAAGTGCCTTGCTTTTTGCTGCTTCGAAAATATCTGGAAATATTCCTGTGCATAAAGAGCACTAAACATGTGAGTTAACGGGTGTATAAAGGCAGGTACACAAGTTTTCAATAAACAATCCGGAAATTCATCTAAACCAGATGAATATTTTTTAGTTTACTGACTTCGTAAGGTTTCGTTAGAAGTAGTTTCGGAAATAAAAATCGTGTCGAAAATTTTTTGGAAAGGTAATGATGTTGAAATTGACGGGTTTAGTCCCTTCATGAGTTCAGCCGCAATTCTAGAAAAGTGTTGGTTGAAGAGATTTGCCATTTTTTCCGGACTACTGGCTTCTCCTTCATTATCCTTTAAAACAACATTCTACTAAGTAACGAGATGATGTAGTCGTATTCTTTACGATATTCCACATTGCTTTAGTTTTGTTACTAGCATTTAAAGTATGATTATTTTTCATTATGTTTCGTTGCAACTTCTGCTACTTCCTCTCCCAACTTATCTTACTAGTATTTCGCAGCCTAAACAGATATTGTAAGGCGTCATAAGTCCTGTGCGTTTCAGACACGTTTCAATTCATTCTTCCGACAATGAAGCACGATATCTCGAGATTGCAACTTTTCTCCGGCAATTACAGTAGCCACTTCATCGGTTGTCGGTGAATTAAACCTCCTTGCGTGCTCAGCGGCAGGTGTTTTTTCAGCTCTAATGACGAAATTGTGGGTCCGATGGCATCCAATCCAATGCTATTTTGACTAAATCGTTGTTCTGATGAAGAAAGTTTGTAGTTCTTCTCTCTCTGTCACACACACACACACAAACTCATTTTCATTCATAATTGTCTCTACATCCTGTATATACATACCTACAAGAAAGTAAATGATGAGCTTATCTTTTTAAGGACGTAGGAAATTTAATAAAATTATCTCTTGAAAAAACTCTTAGGAAATAAAATTTATTAAAAATATCACAACCATTTTACTTATGAAAAAATGCTAGAGAAGAACAAAGCTTGACATTTTCACAGAGCTTGAAAAGCATTCACAGACAGCATTGTTGACTACAATATATTTAGTGGCAAGATCTGTTCTCGGCCTGTAGCCGAGTTTGTAGCACGTTTGTGTGCTGTTATCTAAAACTAATAATATCTTTGGTGACATTTCCTGCAGTTGCTTCTGCAAGTTCTTGGACTTGGCAAGCCAAAGCCCAAATTGTTTAGAGAATCTGTAAGCAGGTCATAAGAACATTACTGTTTCAAATTTTCTGGCTGATTTTTTTCTAAGATTTTGTTTATACTCGCTGTAACCAGGACCGGCACTAGGTCACTTTGCATCCCATGCAAAATGAGAGGTTTGCGCCCCTCCATATAATATAATCCACCGCTCAATAATAAATACTAAATTTAAAGAAACGATGAACACATACTTATTATTGTTCAGAATATCAACATGATGATAATCATAATCTAAAATGAATTTGATAATTAATTATTGAAACAATAAATTATGCATAACAAAGCTTTCTACTTACAAAATAATTATTTTATTAATAACATAATCAGTGCCAATAAGCCAAAATAATGAAAATGAAACAATATTTTCTTATAAAAATGTGCCCCCACCCCCAGTTTGCTCCATAGGCAACCTCCTATGTAGCACCAGCCCTGGCTATAACACTCCCTTTGCCATCAAATTGCTTTAGACGTAAATTTTAACTATGTCTCTCTTAATTAATCTTCTGATAGAATTTACGTAATTTTCCCTCATTAACTGAGATCAATGGTTCATGGAAAATGATTGGTGACATTAAGGTAATTTCAGCCACCAAGCAAAGAATTTAAAGTTTTCCTAAATCTCATTAAATGTATTCTTTCCATTCCTAAGACCAGCTTACCAATTCTCCTTTTTTTTTTTCTTTCTTCTTTAAGAAAATACTGCTATCGTTCAATTTGACTACAAGTGATGATGATTAGAAGAAAATGCAGGTACTGACCACAACACAAAATCATTTCAAGAAACGCATCTCTGAGAAGAGCATAATAATTTGTTGATTACATTGTTGGAATTTCTGAAGATTGCATACCACTTCTCTCTTTGCATTTTAAGAGATCTTATACTGTAGTAATATAGAGTGGCTAAAGAATTTACTTTTCTAATGGATTTCAAGGATTTCTGAACAGAAATTCAGTGTAACAACAGTTTAAGCCGATTTCAAAACATCGGTACACACGGTAACTACTATGTGGCAAATGATTTCTACATTTGGTCTGGCAATTAAAAAGAAGAATACTTGCCAAGTCGTTATTTTCTAAGCATCATCACAAATCAAATGCACCATGCCCTACACCCAGTTTGGCAAATATAATTGACAATATATGTATTCACAGCATATCACGAGTATATATAGTATATCAGACCCACTAAACTAATGGTAACTCATAAATAAAGCATCAGCAAAGGCAAGAGTAGGAAAAATATGTGTGCAATCAGTTTTTACATTCAAGAATAAAAACAAGAACTGGAAAGTACCTCTCTTCATAAAGATCATTTCAATACTAACAATTTTATAAAATTAAGTAATATGCCAATTATATTCTTCACAATATATTATTAGATTATGTGAATTTTATAATCCTTTGTTCTTTCATCAATGCCTATTGATAATACATACTTTTTATCCTCAGTTTCTAATTATTTATCACACTCTTCTTTTTGAAATTATATTGCACTGAGACACTACTTAGCTACTCACACCTCTATCAAATCGACACGTAAAACAAATTATACATTTCACTTAAAAACAGAAAACCCCTCATTTATTCCTATCAATTTAATGAAAAAAAAATACAATTAACAGCCACTCAAGATAAATTAAGGTCAAAAGACGTATACCTACAGAGAGAGAGGTACTATGCTAACTGCCTTTGCTGAACTGGAATAAATACTCTCATGGTAACAAAAAATTCTTCACAATTCTAAAGCATGTTTGTGCTGTATCTCAATGAGTAGCATCTAGAATATTATATTATTTTTCCAAACCAAAATTATTCCCTTTTATTACTAGAGTCTGGTCTCTTTAGCAGGTAGAGGAAGTTTATCACAGAAAGTATTGTGGTCGGACATAACAGATATTGGATCTTTTCCCCTCAAATAATGACATTCAATTTGTGTTATATTACAAAAGAAATATGGTAATGTCTCTATAAATTCTGGATTATTGTTAATTTTTGAAATTACATACTAGCATTTGGCTAATTCTTACGCTGTACGAAACAGATAAAATCCAGCATTGAAAACTGTTCCTTCATAAACTTTATCTTGGGCAACAACTGAGGATCATTTATTGTGAAAGGCTTTGGGATAGTCTGAAACAAATAATATACTATAGATGCTACTCCTGGAAGCAGTGTCATTTTGTGAGAGCAACATTCACTGAAAGCAAACACCACAATAAAAGGAAAATCTTTGTCTTGCATTTACATAATATAAAAAAAAATAGACATGCCACAAGTACAAAATTATCGGGTAAATATTCAGAATGAGAAAATGTCCATGTCCAAATCTTTCATAATTTTCAGAAAGGTAGAAGAGAGGATCATTTTTCAAAGAACACAAATAAATAAAATGACATTTAATGCTGTACACAAGGCACTGGCAGAACCTATGGCATATGATATACACATGACCAGAGGAAAGTGAATTTTATAAGCAAGATCATTCCTTCAGCAGGCATTCCTAAAATCTTTCTCCCTCCCACAATAAAGGTGCACTTCTACAAGAAGAAGAATAACATAATAATTTTTATCAACTTTTGATGCATTTGCCCAGTGGGGAAACAGCTAGCAGCAACAATTATGCTTGAACAGCGTTACTTAAGTTCAAAAGAACTGTGATGAAGAAATGTTTTGAATTGGAAACTGGTTCATTTAACTATCTTGCATAGTTCAGTATCTGGCTTATGAACCTCCTTAGCAAGAAATTTGAAAAAAAGCAAACGCTCGCATCTGAAGTTTATTAATACAGTAGGAAAGGAGTGCAGCAGTGCAAATTAGTACAGAAGTGAGGAGCCATTAAATTTTATGACAACTAAAATATGATGCTAACAAAAAATATTTCTTTTTTACAGCTAGCTAATTATAGCTAAAGCAAAATGTCTGTTGGCAGAAATTAGTCTTGCATACATGGTTAGTTCATATACTGATTGTCTATTTTATTTTTCTTTATTGACTACTAAAAATACTGAACTTGATTTAAAAGGACATCCGTCATCCCCCCTCCTCCTCTTTTCTTCATTTAAACTTATCAGCAATAAGTATTTTTCACCAACTATTAAATATCACAAACATTAAAAAAAAATATAAAAATCTGGAATTATAAATGCATGGCAGTTGATTAAATAAATTACCATTTTGGTACAATACTTTACATGCCTATTTCTTCATTCCTCAAAATGATTTACATAAATAGAGATGAAACTACAGTCAAGAAAGGTCAAAGGCATTTCAACTACAAATCTAATTTCAAATCCAATTTTATTGCATATGAATGCAATCATTCCTGGTCTAGAGATCAATGGTCACAATTATTCGTTTTTATTTTTTAAAATTTTTTTTTACAAATATAAAAAACATTCATGTACGTGTATTTTTTAGTACAGATGAATGTAATAGGTTTATTGAATTTTTAATATGAAGGAATCTAGAAGTGACTTAGTTTTGAGTCATAGCTTCATGAAATCTTGGATATTTGTATCCATCCACACTTCAATGTGCATCTCTTTTCTAGTGTTGTAAAGGAAATGATTCACTGAAGCACATTCCTTCACCCCAAAGACATAAAAAAAGTTGTCAAGGATGAAACCAAGAAAAGACAATATATACAATATGCATTCACACAAATACACACAATAATATGAAGAATAAATAGTGTGGATAAAGTGGCAATATTGAACCTGAAGAAATTAAAAAAGGATTCCTTGGTTCTACAAGCAATTTGAGATAACTTTCCTCACCTTTTCTTTTTCAACAGGAAAGAAAGTGTTTAAAATGTAATCATAATACTGATTTGTTTGAACACAAATATTAAATACACTTCCACACACATATTGCAGTATTACCAGCAAAGAACATGTACAGGATATTTTTTTCCATATATGAAATTTCAAACCCAAAGCCTTCACCCACTACAACATGCCAGGAGGGTCCATAATTTTTATCCATACTTTCCTTGATCATGCGAGCAGCCATCTAAAATGCAAGTACATTCATTAATGAATGCTAAATAATGAAATTATTTTCAAACTTGAAGCTTTATAAACATTAACAATTATATCAAAAGTTTGACACTTTCATTGAACTCTCACCTCATTGTTGGAAGAATATTTTTCGCATGCAGTAACTGCAACCTCCACAGCTTCACCTCTCATTTCCTCAGGCATGTCAGAGAACTTCAAATTATAAATGAGGCAAAATGAATATAATATAATTCACGAGAGACATACATTCTCACATGATAAACTTTTAATTTACCTTAACAAGAGCATATGTATGAACAACTTTCTTTGACTCTTCTTTTTTCCCTTCTCCCTCAGCTGGCGCTGCTCCCGCTTCTCCTCCTCCTTCACCTCCTTCAGGTTTATTTTCTGCCATTCCAAAATTGACGAAAAGTCGACCGTATTTCTCACTTGGGTAAAATTACAATTCTTCCTGTTGCCATTCAACAATAATATTTACATTGCGTAACACGAAATTGACGTCGAGCAGCTGTTTCTGTTGAACAGTACTACCATACTCGATTATTAAAACATGCGTACATTACGGTAAGAAAAGTACTCGATTCACGGAAAATAAAAAAAAAAATTAAAAGCTATTAATTACCTATTCCGCTATGTATACTCCAAAATCATTGACAATGAACGGTCTTGTTACTTTTAAGACATATAGCGTTGACATTTGGATAACGTGCGTCATGCAATATCTATGGAAGTGTACATCACTTCACAGCAGTTACCTTTGGGGGGCTGAGCGCTGGGGGTTAAGTTAGATTACGTTGTGTTGCATATGAGATTTGCAAAAGTTGTATGTAAGGTATTTTTGGAATCTGGAGACTGAAAAAAATGGAGTTCTTCGGAGAAGCTTTAGCATTAGGCATTGATGCCGTTATTGTAGGGATATGTTTTAAAATGTACTTGAGAACTTCGAATGCCATAAAAGTAATTGAAGTACGTACTCCTTATTTTTCCTTCATTATGGATTATATTTAGTTTAATTAGATTCTTATGTTGGGTGAATAAAAATGTAAAAGAAGAAATGCATGTCATTAAAATAAATTCTGTGCCTTTTAAAATGAAGGTTATGTTCGAAAATTGGTGGTATTTCTTGTTGAAATCCTATTTGTACTTCTTAAGATGCAGATTGATCAATAGCACCATTCAAAGTATGAAACAAGATGTGTATGTACTTTTTTCCTTTGATCTTTTATAGGAAATGCCCGAAGTGCTAGATGTGGGACCTCAGCTAGAGCAATTGGTTGCTAAGCAGCCAGAAAAGCAGTTACCTTATGTGGCTGTGCGGGGATCTGTGAAGGCTTTGGGCTCACCACTGCACTCATTAGGTGCACCTGATGTTCCTGCTGTCATCCAGAAGCTCACTTGCAAAGAGCATGTTGTGTCACGTGGAGCTATGGGTTTCTGGTGAGTAGTGAACGGAGGGCTGTAACAGATTACTCAAGAGTTAAAAAATATATTGCAATGTGAATTTTAATAATTGGAAGTTGAAGTATTTTACCTTGCCTAAAACAAGTAAATGATAATACAATCTAAGAATTTCTTGTTACTTGTGTCCACAGGGCGGATCAGGAGCGCACTCTGCAAGAAACTGTAAACTCGGTGCCATTTGCCCTGACTGGCCATAAGGGAACAAGGGTGGAGGTGGTAGATGCACTTGCAGCAGAGGTGCTTGACCTAGAGACTGTAGTTGACCACTTTGAACCTAGTGCACCAGGGTTGGTTGATCATCTATGGGGGTTTTTCACTGGTGTCCGCCAACGTGGCTTGCAAAACACAGAAGATGTATTGCGTGAAGGTGCATTGCTTACTGGAGTGGGCACATTAACTCTCGTTCCCAGTGATCCAAAAGGAGATCTGCATCTTGTTCCACCTGCTGATGGTGCTCCTTTCTTCCTAACTGCAATGTCATTGCACACATTGGCACGACATCTTGACCGTGAAAAGCGAATGTACAAGTGAGTTTATTCAATTTTTAGTTAAAATGTTCATAATCATGTGAATATAATATAAATAGTAAGGTATGTGCACATAGAATGATAAATTATTAATCAGCAAAATGAATCTTCTGTTGTAAAGTTGCATTAAGACAAAGACACATTAAAAATTACTTCTTTTTTAATTATAATTTTCCATGCTGCAATGTGTACAGTGTACTGAGAATGCAGAATGGCATTTCATTAGACATCACAGACAAATTAGGATATTCAATATTTTGTTCTCCAGACAAAAAAACATCTGCACTTCTTTCCTTCTCATATCCAATAGTTTTGCATTTCGGTCTCAGTGTTCAAAAGCATTTAATTTTATTTATCGAATTGTTAGTAGAGCTTGTTTCTTTAACACTGCTAATGTGAAACAACTGCTGCTGTGAAAGGATGTGGTTAGGAAAGCCCAACTTGTTAACTTGGAAGGGTTATATAGTGAGGAATAATATTTAATGTGAAAAAAATGTTTTCATATGATTTCCACATCTGTGCAGATATTTTTACATTTGATTGGAATATAAAATTTTCATTGTTAATTGGACCCAGGAAATAAACATTCAAGAAATGAGTACTTTTCAATATATTCTTGCAAACCACTCCAGCTAAGTGGTAGGCAGGTAGATATTTGGAATCATAGTCAGGTATGCCCCTTATTAGCAAACACATGATTGTCAGATTTCTTCACATCAAATCTTGAAGCACTATGGTCAAAGAAACAGATTTCACCGTTGAAATGAAATGACATTCAGTTAATTTTGTTTTTAAATTCCAGTAAATGTCAAACCACTGTATACAATCTTGATTGGAGATTAAAGTGTAGTTTATGATGTTGATGGGCTATTGATATGATTGACGTTGATATTTAATATTTGTCAGTGATATAGTTGACTTTTTTCTTCTCTCTCTTTCTTTCACTGTTTCTCTGTCTCTCATCTCCTCTCCCTTTTTTTTCTTCTTCTCTTGGCACGTTTGACCAAAAAAAGGTTCTCTGTCTCTCCTCTCCCCCTTTTTTTTTCTTTTTCTCTAGGCACGTTTGATCTGAAAAAAAAATAGTAAACAATAATCACAAAAGAAAATGTATGATATATCTCCCTAATTGTATGATATAAACTTCTGCAAATACAGAAGCTACCCTCTGTTTGTGGTAGACAATTTCATATTGCGAAACTAGGGTCTTGGATGGTTTTGATATAAATTTGTTTATTTCCCTGTGTTACTGAGTAAGCACATGCATATGTGCACATCACCATGAAAATTAATAAATAAGAATGGTTGAGTCACATGTTTGAGGCATTTTAGGTCATGTGTTAAAGTCATAACATGTAATATGTTTTGTGAGATTAATGTAGAAATGGAGTTCTATTCGTAATTATGATTGCATTTTATTTTTGAATATTAACTTTACTACTTACACATGTATTTAATTGAAATAATATTTGGAGGTGCTAAACTAATTTAGATACCTTTTGCTTTCTTTGTCTTACTTCGTTTACCTCCCTTTCCCAGTTCACCACCTAGCCCAAAAAAGATCTTGATAAGTATATACTTTTTGTCAGGTGGTTGGCTGTGACATTTGGTGCAGTAGGTCTCATACTGGTAGGAGCTGCTGCACGTCGCTGGTGGCGCAGTGCAGAAAGAAGAGCTGCTGATGCTGCAGCACGTGAAGCCACAGAGGTAGAACGACGTGAACGACGGCGGCGGGCCCGAAGTGCAAGAGACAGAGATAATGTACCTGAAGCTCTGCTGTGTGTTGTTTGCAGACTTCGTGAACGTGAACTGGTAAGTATTATCTTCAGGGTGTGAACTAAGAATAAATTTGCCTCGTATCTCAACTTCAAACAAACGGAATGTGTAAAACACTGCACAATGAAATTTTTATCAAGTGCTCTCATTTCTGACTTTAAATCAGAATCAACAAAAGTCATATTCTGCCAAATAAACTGAAGTAACAATGGTTTTGTATATAATACATAAAAGATTCTATTAATAAGTCATTTTGCCTCTTCACATTTTTTAAATTTAATTTATTCATGTACAGTGAAATCTGTCTTAGGTGGTATCTCATTGTGTCAGAGTTAGTTCAGGTGGTCACTGAATTGAGGTTATGAGTCTAGTATGAGTGAAGATCTTGCTTGATATTTCTACTTGTAATAAAGTTAGTGTCCATTGCTGGTTAACACCTTTTTAATTACACTTAATGTATGTGTAATTGGAAACCTTTTTGCATGAATGCACTTCAAGTGACACATACATAATCGATCAGTTCTTGGTATTTGCACTCTTCTTTTTTCATGCAGTTCACACTCTTAGGATTTCTTAGTATTCATGATAATCATTTATTGATATATGAAACTCATATTAATCTCGATGCAAAATAAGAAATTTTCGCTCACCGTTCCATATTGTCTGACTCTGCGTCTGGACATTGAAAGATACTGGCTGTGTACTAATATCCACCAATGATTTTATTATTATTATTTTTATATTTTATGGGTCAATATCCCAAACTTGTAAGTTATGATTGTCAATACAGGTTAAACTATGAAATGTGCCTGGGCACTGACTGCAGAGTCAAGTGATCCCTAAAAAGAGGGAATGTTTTAAATGTGTCTGATGGTAAAATCAATCGGTTCCATGAAAAAAATGGCCATTGCTGGCCATTTTCAAAGCTTCATGAAGGTGGCTGTTTAAGCAGGTTTTACTTTATTTCATTGTAGACATTATAGCCTACAGATTATAAATTAATAATAAAATGTAATATAATACTCACACATCACATAGAAAGAGACCTTCAACCAAATTTTGTAATTTAATAAACTTTTGTAATTAAATTTCATTGTGCCTGCAAAATCAGCTTGTGAAGAAGTGAAGGTCGAACATGTCCAAAGAGACATAAAAACTGAAATAATTATTTGTTTTTGTGTCATGTATACTAATACCCCGGAACTTTGATACAAAAAATGTAGCAGTTTTAAATAGTTTCTTGCTCCTCAAAGTGTACGTTACTCTTTTTCATAAAAAGTGCACGTAGCACAGTTTTGCAAGACCAACAATGATTTGTATTACGTAATGTATTATATATAAAACACTTGAACATGCTTTACTTAACCCAAAATGTTATGGAGAAGGATGGGGGAATGTATATACAATAAAATTAATAATGCAATTGAAATATGTTTTCAAGGTGCAATAGGTTATCAGGCAAGGGAGTGTTGGGTCAACATAACAATCTAAAAAGCTGCCAGTCATTTTGGATATTTCAGTTCCCTAACGTAGATCCATAACTACTGTACCTACACTTCTGAAATGAATGTCACCATTGTTTCAGGTTCTTCTACCATGTGGACATGTGTGCCTTTGTGAAGAATGTGGAGAAGCAGTTGGCCCACGATGCCCTGTATGCCGAGCACAAATTGAGAAACGCACTGCTGCATATGTAGCGTAGATCAATGGTGATCAAATGAATGCAATTGCTTTGTTTGTTGAGAAGTTTGAACTTTTGCCTCCAGTTTCATATCAAAGTTGAAGTGCCAATGCAATAACGTCAGAGAACGTAAATTTGAAATGCTTTAGGACCAGAACACAAATTTCATAGAAAATATGAACAATAGTTTTAATGATATGTAAATCGTTTACTTTTTTAATTTCAGACATGTTAATAAAGTTATTCTATTGTTTGTTATATAGGGTGAAGAATATCTGTTACTTAGTTGATCAAGGAGCTATTTTTAATCAAGATTTATCAGAAACAACAATTTCTCTGAATTTTAAACTTCAGTGTTCATTTTTACAGAAGTTACCACAGGCCACAGTGTAAATAATATGCTCTTTTTTTTCAGGCCTGAATCGCGTGCTGATTGTATTCTTTGGTTTTTCTCAAATAAAAACCAAGTTTGGTTTTGGAAGTTTGTACAGTAATATAAGTCATTAAAGCTTAGAAACAGAATTACTTAATTTTCTTTTAAGAAACATTTAGTGTATATGTGTGTGTTTTGACCAGGTAATACGACTCTTATTCTTTTCATGCAAAGAAAGTTTTGGGTTATGGTCCATAACATAGGAAATAACTTTAACTTGAAAGCAATTTTCCTTCTCAAGATAATCTCCATTCAGTGTTTTTATTATTTCATCTTCTAATACTACATGAAACAGAAAATATTGTAATGCTGCAGAAAAAAGTGCAAACTTTTACACAGATGGTTTTTGTTTTCGGGGTCTGACACTGAGAAAGTGTATTGTTCTTGCTCTTTCATGTATTAAATTACCTTCTTGAATAAGTCTGAATACACATTTTGTGGGTTGAAATGAAAAAGTTATTTTCAGCACTCTTGTAACAACTCTTGCACATATAATGTACCCTGAATTTTCACCAAAATTGATGTTTCCCCTTTTCCCCTCAAATTTAAACTTGTTAACATTTTTGGGAGAATTTACATGAAGCCCCTGCGACATCAAAATTTTTCCAGAAATACCTCAATTTTTTTTTCTCTTCCCCAAATAGAACAAAGCAATATAATAAAAGAGACTTCATTGTAATCTCTGAATTTTCAAAAATTGCAAAAATTAAATCCCCCCTACAAAAGGATACATCTATATTTAAATGAAATCTGTTCTTCAAAATTAAATCTTTAAGTAATGTTCTGAACAACTATTTTGAAAATATGAGTAGATTTCACATAATTTTCAGTGAAATAACAACTTATTTAAAAATAGTACATTTACTCAAAATCAGCAACTTTTTTCTCAAATAGACAAGATTGATGAAAATATATAGAATTTTCAAAATTTAGTCAAACGTGCCCTGTACACAGTTGAAATATGGGCTAGAGTTATTATAAAATGCAATAGTTTGTAGAAGCTAATGTAGAAGAATTGAAGATGTTTTTTGGAATACCATTGTTATGGGGAATCCTAAATTCCACAGAGTAAGAATACACTGGGAATCTACTTTTTCTATTCCTCTGATCTCTGGACACATGAATGTTGACTAATTTTTCAAGTTGAAGGATGGTGAAGTTCATTTCATAAATCAAAACCCCTAATGACAGTGACCGATTTTGGAAAGTGATGCCCATTTCATGTGCATTAAGGTCTCAGTGGCATGTATTGAATCCTGAAGATATTTTCAGCGGAGATGAACAGACAATGTAACAGCAAGTAAATACCAAGCACGTAAAATGGATTTCAAGATGTTTTTATTAGGTGGTACTTCAGATCTAATATATGACAATTTTTATCAAGGTTTCAGTAACTGACTGAATCTTCCATCAACTAAGCCAATTTTGGTTTTGGTCCTGAAGTGATCCAGTTTTGCTAAAGTGTACCCTAAACAGCATGGCTCAGTTTTGATAATTATTTTAGTACCTCATGACTTTTTGAATAGCTTAAAGATACACTATTAAACTTCAGGAACTACAAGGGTAGACAGATTTATGAAGACACCATTGACTGCTGACGAAGTTACAAAACAAGAATATGGAAGAGGTTTTATGAAAATCCAATTCCTACGAACAGCACCTGACAAAAGTAATTGTTTAATGTCTGTTAATGTTATTGGAAACTATATATAATTACTGGAATAATGAGGCATACCATTCATCAGTTTGTGCTGTAAATGAGCCACAAATAACTTGTATATGAATTCAATAGAAAATGTGCAATTATGGTCAAAAGAAGGCCATAAAATCTATACATAAAACAACTCTTTTGCATCTGGCAAAATGATTGTGATATTGAAAGAATGAATTAAAAATTGATTTTCAACATTCCTCTGAACAATTATGAATTAGATCATATTTATAAAACATGAGAAACCTGTACACACACACACGGTTTGTAAAGATCTATTGACCTCAGCAAGTACATTTCTGTGTCATTCAATAACAATGGACTATAGTATATATTTGGGCTTCGATTTCAAAAGTGTAGGTGAAAAATCAAGAAAGAAAACAGAAGTGCCAAACCCTCAAGTAGTGCAGAACTACTCAGTTGCACTTCCTTGTTTCCCTCTAAAGGATGTTCATAAGGTCATGGAATTTAGCAGGATGGTACTGTCTTGAGTTATATACACTCTGGTCTTGATCCTGCAGACAATAAAGAATAACTTTAATATACTTCAAGTAGAACTAGGTCTGCCGGGGGAAAAAAGGATTTTAGATTCTTTACATTTTTGGCTTCAGATAGCTGAAGCCCTAATCTTGGTTGACAAAACTGAATGCTAAAAGTAAGTATGGAAGGTATTCTAAAGTTTCCCAGAAGGCATTTATTTTCAAATGTGATGTCAACAATGCCTATTCTATGAAGTCTTTTGTTGCCTCCTAGTTATCTGCTTCATATCAGTCAACTGGTTCCTTATTGAAGACTCATTTAATGCAGGCAGTTGATTGTTTTCCTCGATATGTGATGGATATCAAAGAGAGCACTTTCAGGCAATTACTTTCTAAGATTTTAAAGTTGGTCTAAGTATTAAAGTGTGTCTGAACAATTGAGGGGTGCATTCAGTGATACTTGCTCATCAAAATCAACTACTTATTCAGAATTTCGGTGGGGGAGAAAGTCACTTGAAGACAAGCCTCGCGAGGGTAACCACAGATAGCGGCGGCAGAAGAAAAACCTCGTCTGTGCAATGTTGCAAGGATTACCCATGCTGAACTTACCGGCAGATGCAACAGACTTAGGGTATTGGTTCCTCTACAATGTCAATTTTGAATGAACACCTTGGTGTCTTGTCTGTGTAGCCAATGGATCACGCATTGTTTATTTCAGGAGCAGGTCATGTGACTGGTATAAAGAAATGTCACAAAAGTTTGAAGGATGTGCAAAGCAAATTTTTGATATTGAAACTGGAGATGTATTTTGGATTTTCCAATTTGACCCTGAAACCAAACTGCAATCAACAATCTGGATCTTCCCTGATGAGAACAAACCAACAAAGACCAAGAGATCGCAGAAGCATTGGAAAGAAAATTATTTGTTCCTTTTTTTCAGCCATTGGTCATGAAGTAACTATTTCACTTGAGGACCAAGGACAGTGATAGTACTCTGGTACCCAACTGTTTGTCTCCCACGCATCTTCAAGAGCATTGAGAAGAGACTGCACAGAAGGTGTGCATGGTCTGCTTTTGCATCATGACAACACGCCAGCTCACACAGCTCAAAAAACCGACAAATTATGTGGAACGTCTGCACCCTCCCCTCCTACAGTTCAGACATGGCCCCCTGTGACTTTTTATTTCCAAAAGCTAAAGAAACAATCAGAGGATGCCAGTTTGAGATCCCACAACATGCAGCAGCCTACAAAGCATTTCTAAAAGATCTTTCGAAAGAACAATGGCATGCCGCATTTCAAAAGTGGTTTTAGAGGATGGAAATAAAAGGGTAAGAATCTGTTTCCACTTATTTAAACCTACTTGTACTTGAGAGTACCCCTTATATGCTCTTCCACAAGCTTTATGGAAAAAGTAACCAAAATACCAAAGTGTCAATGAGCTTACTTGCAGTACTCCATAAATACCTTTTTGATAGCGATAAAATTGGCAGGTATGTGCAAGAACAAATTGTGTAGAGGGTCAGAAAAGGATTAATAAATATTCACTTAAAAAAACAAATTTTGAAGCATTTCTTACAAAATTAACTTAGTGAAAATACTGTCTTTGATAAAATAAGCAGACATTTTTATAAAGTTAGAAAAAAATAGTTGAAAAATCCAAATTATATATGCACATCACAATCAGTACTCCAGAGGACAATGTATCTTGGGTACACAGGTCACCAGAGAGTATATATCCCTCCCACCACTACTTTCAAATAAGGACGTTTTACCACCTATTAAGTAACACCCCCCTGCAATCACAAATGTCGAGAAAAAGTCTTATTTCGCATGCAAAAAGGGGGTATGTCAATTTCTATGGAAAAAAGGCAGTAACTGCTCAATAAACATAAATGTACCCTTAATATTTCATTTACTTTGTTGCGATTGAGTAAAAAGCTGTTTGGTTTTGAAGAATCCACTTCAAAGACGACCTAAAGGCTTACGAGTGTCTCAGATTTCACAATTTTAATTGTGATTTCCTCACACTCGTGAAACTCATTTCTTACATCTGAATACTGGTCCTGTATTGTTTTGATGTGAGCATAATTAGTTCTGACCCTCTTATACCTGGTTATCATTGCCTGTAGTTAAATACTCTTTACTAATTCCATGTCTCAGGTTTTTATTTAGCAGGTGTAATTGAAAGAACTTCCAATTTTCCATTAAAATAATGAAAAACTAGGGCCCAGGCTGGAATCACACAGCTCATTGAAAAATTAACATTAATGCAATATTTTGGAGGAAGTGCTGCTGACTGGATATATCACAAAGTTCATTGAAATTAAGTTTTGAATGAGAACTTGTTAAAAGTAAAAAAAATTCAATTTCAATATAATTCGTTACATCAAGGCAAAAATTTTCTGAAGACCAAGTATTAAATTTAAATCCTTAACCTTTTAGCAATTTTTGGTGGTTAGAATCCTATTGAAATACAATAAATCAAGATGTTTAATCCACTACATCACTAACAAAAGCACACAGGATGTGAAGGTTAAAAGAAAAATGTCAAAGGAAATACTGATCTCAAAAATCATTTATTGAACCAATTCTGAAACAATGTTAAGCCACCTGGGCCAATTCAAGTTGGACCTTCTTCCAAGCATCAAGGGGACCATGTTCTGGGCGGTACTTGACATTGCAACCATCACTAGCTAGTCGCCCTTCATCTCTCAGATTCTCATAAACTTCTCTATCATACTTGGTGAAACCCCACTTCTTAGACACATAAATCTGCAACAAAAAATGGATTGTTAAAATTGCCAAAATTTGAAAATCATTGGTTAGTGTATCATTAAATCTTTCCAAATACAACAGAACCCGCATTTTTTAGACATTTATAAATTTGATTTAATTGCTATATTTTTCAAACCAATCTACCAAACATACTACCTTAAATTAAGAAAAAGTTCATGAGAAAAACCTGCTATGCCAAATTAATTTTAATGTGGCTGAAGTCTAATGTACAGTACAACTTAAGGAAGTCCTTTAAACCAGCACTTCGTGCTACTGCAACAAGGGGAAAATCCACTGTGGAGAGGACAAAGGGTTCGTAATTGGTCACAAACATGACTTCATAAGTTAGGGGAGGCAATTTCACCGAAATATCTTATAGGAGCTCCATTAGAAGAAGTGCTGGGATTGTGGTACGGTGTGATTAAGTTTTAGTGTTCATTCTTCACGTTTGCAACTACGCATTATGAATTCTGGAGGCCTCCTTATAAAAGTGAATTGGTATCTATGCAGTGGATAGACTTGAAGTTATATATAGTGAACACAAGGGCCGAAAGCCCAAGCCTCGCCATGGTTTGGATCTGGGCAAGCCAAGCGAGAAAACTTTAACTTTGGAAGTAATTTGACATTACAATGAGGAAGGGACAAAGCATATGAAAATGAACCATGAAAAATCACCTATCCATATTATTCATTTCAGCAACATAAACATTATTTTTAACTTTTAAAATCACTATCAGATGTAAAACAATGATTTCATTTTTACCCTGATTGAATATAATTTCCCTGTCTTCCTCGATTTCCAGATTTTGACATAATGGGAGGTTACGTTATTTGCTTGTCAAGAACATGAAAATGAATCAGATAAAAAGCTCACCTTCTGTCGTCCAGGGAATTTGAATTTGGCACGTCGCAGAGCTTCAATAACAGCTGCTCGGTGGCGGTCACTAGTTCGCACACTCATGATAGGCTGGCCAATTCTAACACGTGCCACTGTCCCTTGAGGCTTTCCAAAAGCTCCTCTCATTCCTGTCTGGAGCCTGAAAATTAAGTCCGAATTACCTCGTCCATAATCGATATTTTCCTAAATTTTTCAGTTTACACAAACTTATCATCATCTTACCTATCAGCCCCGGCACATGATAACATTTTATTGATTCGGATGACATGGAAAGGATGCAGTCTCATACGGATGTGAAACTGATCCTTACCGCAATTCTTAACCATGTACTGCAACAAACAGGATAATAACAATCTTAGAAATAAGACCAAACATATTAGACTGCATAAATCAATTACAAAAAAATGTAAACCATGTCTCAATAATATTGATATCACAAATATATTGAATTAACACGAATGCTAATTACAAGAGAAAAAGGTTTAAGTACACAACTCTGTATAAGATAGGGACTCCATTTAAATCAGCACTTTCCACCATGCTGGGATTTTTAAGGGCAATCTCTTAGAGGGCAGAGGTACTGAGCAATGTACATTAAGTGATACATAATCATAACCACAAATTGGTTTGCAATTGGTTTGCAATTGGTTGCTTTTTTCATTATGTCATTTCATATCCTAAAACCTAGCTGAACGCCAATACTGCAAGTCTTTGAAGCAAAAGCTGCATAGCAGTAATTCTGCAGTTTAATTTTGTGCCAGGGTAGCTGTCAATGTGGACAGCTAAATTTCTGTAGAACAGATATGGGTTGATCTAAGGTTGGCAGTGACACAGTTCCTTTAGCATTGACATCTATCCAACCATCAAATGATTTTTAAGATGAGTATTCACATAAAATGGGCCGGACAGACTCAAGTATGTTTTATGTTAACACGAGAACCAAAGGCCTGAGCCTCATCCTCAACGTGGACATATGTAGGAAAGCATCACAAGTCCACGTGCATGAACAGTGACCCTGCCAATTACCCAGATATGTATCTTGCGCTCTTCTGCTTCTTGAGATTACGGTTTTTGATCACAAAATTTATGACAATGGTGAGAATAAATGTAAATTAAGCTTAGTAACAAATGGCATGTTTGGCCATGATTTAAGTGGATTCAAAACTGAATGCAACAGGTTTAACATGTGCCATGTACAAATGCCCTCAGACATCAGCCAAGTGGATGGTGTTGTGCAATTGCTTCAGGCAGACGTGTAGTAAGAAGTGCAAGTGTACTGTACAAAAGAGTGTCTGCAAGCAGGCTTTCTGAGGGAGTCTCCAATGAATATGAAACTACGACAGCACTCATGAAGTTTTATTCTTTTCTTTTGATTTGTTAACCACAACTTTAAGAGAGAGGGGGCCACCTGCTTCCTCCTCGCCCTCTTCTACTTGCTTCTCTACGGTGTACTGGCTTCTCTACTTTAACTGAAATAACTAAGGTATATGCTCTCCTGAAATAAAATGAAGTTTGAACGCACCTTATTGGCGCAAATTCTTCCAGCTTCCAGAGCCTCCGACGACAGCTGTTCATATTCATCAGATACCAGATGAACGCAGAGAGGAAAATCTTCCACTCTAGCCTTTTTTCTTCCCAGGTCGAAAATTCGAATCTTCGGATCAGGCACACCACGGCAAAACCGTGATTTAGGGTAAGGCTTATTTTTGCAATACCGATAGCTATGAACACAAGATATATTGTTTAATGTTAAGCAATGATTTATACATACACTATAACTTGCATTATCTATTCAGAATAATGGTACTTTACACAAATAATTAAATTATAATTTATTTATAATAACATGTAAAACAAAGTATAGTAAATATTTAAAAAAAACAAGTACACGCGTACTCACCATCTTGCTGGTCGTCGCCCCATGGTGGCTGAAAAATATGAAAATATACATTAGAATAGTTATTACAAACACTTCCTCCGAGGTAAAGCTAGATTAAATAGAACGATTAAATAAAACATTAACCCGATGTTTAAAGATTCTTAAAACTCACCACGAGCACGGAACGACCGAGCAATGGAGAACCGAACGGAACAATGAACGTGCAAGTTAGAATTGGACGTCTCAGATGTTTTATACACTGTTACTCGAACGACTTCGAGATATATCGATATATCGAGCGCGTCATAGCGTTATCTGTCGGCCTAGTACGAAATCGCGAAGTCATGATTATCAGCAAGATAGAAAGACTAGGAACAGATTATCATCTGTTAATACATTGTGGACTATGTATTATTATAATTTTGTAGAATTTAATCCTAAAACACACGCGTTAATTTGATTGAACTACTTCTAAAGCACTTCGTTTTCTCTTTAAAGTGTTCCATATGGATACATTATATCGGGACTTGTTCGTAATCAGTGTGTGACGTTTTCCACTAAAATATAAAACATACTTTGCAACATTGTGTAATACGATTAAAATACATGCTTTTCACCTTCTCACACTTACAAACGTAAGAAGAGAAAGTATTGTAATCGTATGCCGGAAAACAGTGAATTTTCGATACAAAAATTCTTATTGCCGGACTTTGGTAAGGAAAAAGTGGATAAACCCAGTTGCTACTGTAAATATAGAAAATAATTCTCTAAAACGTGGTGTAGCCAAAAATCATTTTTTGTGGGTTCTTGATACCAAAATATCGATTGACGGCAAAACGCCTGTCCGCCCTCTGTACACAACCGTTCAGCCGGTTTTCTTCAAAATTGATTTTCCCCAATCATTCTAGCCATTATTGCGGTCCCTGGAATTTGAAACCAATATTTTAATTTTGGGGGCTACTTTACATGAAGCCCCTGCGACATTTTCAAACTTTTCAAAAAATGGTTCCAATTTTTTTTGGATTAATTTTTTTTGTTGAATAGTGCAAAAGACGTTTAAGAGAATGGTGCATGTCTCATTTTCGTTGGCATTCCCGATTTTTCAAAAATTGGAAAATAATGTAAACTTTAAAATTGAAGATAGAGGTTTTTGTCTCAAAGTCTGTTATACAAAATTAGCTCTTTAAAAACGTTAATGAACATTTTTTTTAACTGGCAGTTTTTGCGTGTTTTGCGATGAAATTTACAACAAAAAATTCTCGAAAACCGCTTATTTTTTTCTTTAAATTTCTTCCTCATATGTAGTAAGGAACGGTAAGATATATTACGATAGTCTAATTTTCGGGTATTGCTCGTTTTTTTTCGAAAATTGCATAAAACTTTTCAAAATACGAAAATTTACATAGATATTTTTGCCTCGGACAAAGTCTGTTGCAGAAAATTAACTCTTCACAAAAGGTCATGTACAATTTTTTGACAAAACAACTGCAAACAAACAGTAGTTTTGACTAATTTCTGCTTGAAATTAATGAAACATACACAGATTTCTCACCAACTACGAACCACCTTCCATTAAAGGCAAGAATGGCACTTTTAGGAAGAATTGATAAGAAACTATGTGCCCATCGCTGCATGCGCGCGTTGTAGTCAGCGCTCATCGACAGAGATCTGTTGATATAGATAGAAATGCGGAATAATGTTATTACATAACCGTTAATTAGAGGCAAGAAATTATGTGCTGTTTTAGCACCACTAGTTTAAATACTTATTTGAAATCGTAGGACATTTGGTGCGAAAATTAAATAGTTTCAAGCAATAGATTTTTTTCAAAACTTTAAATTAAAATATATGAATTTGTTATTGAATTAATTGAATAAGGTATACAATGTATTCACGAACAAATCGGATGAGGTTTTATATCGTACAATATTCTTCGTAAGCAGTATGCATGAAAGTATATAATTAAAAGTTAGTAATAAAGTACGATACTGATAGCGGTGGCAAACAAATGCAAATAGATCGAAAAATAAGCAATAGTAATTGTTAAAGACTATAGTATTGTAATATTCTACAAATATATAACAGTATTAGGGTAAACGTAAAACAAAAGCTTCAATGTAATAAAAAGAACAAAGAAATATGAAATAAATATACACATTCTAACTTACGTAGCATCCAACTTCCTCAAAACACTTCTAAAATTATGATCACGAAGCGCAGGATTTTCAGAGCGGGCTACTACGTTTGACGCCCAATTACTAAAAAAAACTCATATTTTAGAAAAAGTTAACATGACCTTATTTGAATATCTAATTCTGATGAACACATTTCATTAAGAAAATATGTATCTTCTTAATTGTAGTAGTAGGAAAATACGTGAATTTTTTAAAATTTTTACTATTTTTAAAAAATCAGTTTTTTTAACGAAAATTAGACTTGCAACATTCTTTTAAGCGTCCTTTACGCTATCCAAGATCAAAATGTAATAAAAAAATTGTTACCATTTTTTTGAAAATGGCAAATGTTCCAAGGGCTTCCAAAAATTAAAATATCTTTTTCAAATTCAAGGGGCCACGACATCAGCAAGATCGATTGATGAAAATCCCACTTATGGCTTAGCCGCTATTGTTGTTCACGGTGAAACAGACGTTCAGAAGGCCGTCAATCGATTTCTCGGTCTTACGTCCGAGTCCTTAAGGACTCAGATTCTACGCAACGTGTAGAAACAAGATTTATCCACTTTTTCGATACCAGAACTCGACAGTATGAGATTTTAATTCAAAAAATCGCTGTTAAGACGGCGCACAGTTACAATACAGTCTCTTACGAAGTTAGGAAAAATGTACAAATGAACTGATTGTGTTCAATAAAATTGCTAACATTCCCGCAAAATTAGATATACAGTCTTAAGCACAAACATTTACACCATCGAAGCCTCTGAAGCATGAAAAATGAGAAATGTTTTTAATTCTTTAGCGGTAATAGTATAAATAGCTGGGAAACAGCCATGAAACAATGTAAAGCACACAAAGGTTTCGCCAATATTAGCGCCTATTAGCGCATCGAATTGAGTTCGCCGCGGTTGGCGGCCGCTTCGTGTCGTGTGCCTGGGCATGGCGATAAGTGGTCGTCATCACTGTTTTTGCATCTCGACTGTTTCCGGTTAAGTGTGGTGAAACGCGCAATTTGGACGTAGTACGAAGTTGTAAGAGAAACGGTACATTGCAGTCTTTTTTGCTGTCATACATTGTTAGCACACAAACGCCGAAAATAACTCAAAATCTGGAGCCTAACATTAAAACACACAATCATAAGCTCTCTCTGGCATAAATTTAAGTCATTTTATATGTGGCGCGCTTAAGATGGTTTATCATTTCTTCCAAAAACCACGAACGCTTCAAACTGCTTCGCAAGGTGACTAGAACAGAGCGGTGCATTGCCGGACCTGGCGCGACCAATCGACATGATTTCTTCCGTGGCCAACGACATTTCCGGTGGGCCCTGATTTCCATCTAACACCCATCTCTGTATCTCTCCCAGATCTCTCCTCTATGCAAACACCACATACTTTGGCATAGTACTGTCGCCATCCATTTGAGCGCAGCACCGACACGAGATTTGATGTGTAGTTTGTCCTAGGAGGTTGTGTGTGTCAGCCCTGGGCAACACTGCCAAAGACAGCCAATAATGTGCTTAGTTATTGTTTGAATTATTTCGCACGTGGAAGTGTACAAATAAGACAGCGCAATTTAAACCTTCATTTCTTTCTTCAATTTTAACAACATTCTGCGAGGATGAATCGTTCTGTTTATGTGAGTTCTAGAGAACAATGGTTTACTTAATGTTTTGTGATGTATATCGTTATCGGAAATTATTTATTTATTGTTGTAGCATAAATTGAAATCAATGGCAATCGTTTCTGGAGGTGCCACAGCTATTTTCTCAGCTTTAAGTATTTACAATGAAAATGAAAAGTTTTATGACAATGTTCTCATGCCTGTAATCCATTTTTTACCTCCTGAAACTTCTCATAATATGGGTATAATGGTTGGTAAATATGGATTATTTGGCCAGAGTAGATTTAAAGATCCTGAAACTTTGGTAAGCTATTGACAAGTTTTAGTAATGTAATGCTATGATTTAAAAATATTGAGTGATGTCTTTCTTCATGTTACTCATAGTGAAACTATTATTTTAGAAAACAAAAGTATGGCATTTAAATTTTTCCAATCCTATCGGAATGGCTGCAGGATTTGATAAGCAAGGTGAAGTGGTTAGTGCTCTTCATAAAATTGGTTTTGGTTTTGTTGAAGTTGGTTCAGTTACACCGCTACCACAACCAGGTAATGATAAGCCCAGGGTGTTTCGGTTGGAAGAAGATGAAGCAATTATTAACAGGTACATAATTTCATCCTTGGAATCTGGATATGAAATTCTACATTAAAAGGTTATCAGAAAGTAAGTGTAAACATTAAGAAACAAATACCCTATATCCTAGAAATTCATATGGTGTGAGCTGCTGCATTTTTGAGAGTTTACCCTTTGATCAAGTTACATGAGCAAAATAATTAAAGATGTTGTCATTGCGACTACGACTCGTCTTATGGCTCAATCTTGCAGACGACTGATATGATGGCCTAAGCCTATCGAAGCTGCTTTTGAATTAAAAAACACTTGTTGCTAATGACAACATCTTTAATTATTTTAAAAATGCCAAAGATATCTTACCACAACACCTATACATGAGCAAATGTGTTTGTTTTATTTGTGAATCTTATTATGTGATTCTTACTCACTGATCTTATTTTTTATGACAGATATGGTTTTAATAGTGATGGACACAGTATTGTATATGAACGTTTGAAATGTTTGAAATCAAACAAAGAATTTACTGGAATTGTTGGCATTAACTTAGGTAAAAATCGGCTATCAGATGATCCTGTTAATGATTATGTGCAAGGAATCAAAATGTTTGGTGAAATAGCTGATTATTTAGTTATTAACGTGTCAAGGTATATAAGATGAGATCAATTTATTTCAACTGCAATTGGGTATAAGCCAGTGGCAGCTAATTACTTAAATATGCATTAACATTTCAATATAAATTTAATTAATAATTAAATATATGGAAGTGATCAATGCAATTTTTTATGTTTTAAGTCCTAACACCCCAGGTCTAAGAACATGGCAGAGAAAACAGCAACTGCAGGAATTGCTCATGCATTTAGTGGCTGCTCGTAATGAGCTGCCTGGGCCTAATAAACCTCCATTGTTACTGAAATTAGCGCCTGATTTATCTGATGAAGAGAGGAAAGACATTGCATCAGTTTTGGAAGATAAAAGGGTATTTTTTTTAAAGTTGCTTTGAATACACTGCCCTGAAAGAAAAAATTCCCTGAAGCAAAAATTGATGTATCCAATTAAGTTTTATTTATTTATTTGAAAGCAATCGTTTTAAAATCACTTATGCTAAAATAGCTTTTAAATATTATCTAAGGAAATTAAACACAACAAATACCAAATGAGAAAAGTCATTAGTTGCTAGATATTGTACTAGCAATGTGCATTGAAAAGCATGTGATCCAATTAAGTAAGCTGAGAAACTATCTTATCTATTAAAAAACAAAGCCCATTTTAAAGTCTTTACATTATTATAAATTGAATGCTTTGAGTAGGTAGTAAAATTAAAGTTCGCATGTTATAATTATACTTTATTTTAACAGTGTCAAGTTGATGGTCTTGTAATTTCAAACACAACTATTCAGAGAGATCCATCATTGCAGAGTGTTCATATAAAAGAAGCTGGTGGTCTGAGTGGAAAACCACTTTCGTCATCATCTACAAATCTTATTTCAGACATGTATCGACTTACAAAAGGTATTTCATGTGAACAAATATTTCCATTGTTCATGAATTTCTGGTATTGAAAATTTACTTTGCTACTGTGCTTTAATGTACATGAAAGTAAACAGAACAATTTAGAAGTAGTAAATGATAGTTGGAACTATTTTGCTCAAATGGAGAGTAAGTGTTCACCTAAAGTTTAATCCCAAAAGTTCACCAGATAAAACTTATTAGTGGCAATATGCATTTCTTTTTCTTTCTAAGTGAAATAAGCCCATTTTGTGTACCAACTTAACCTAACCTTCTTGTGTTTGAAACTGATAATAATGATCCCTTGTGTTGTTTATCCACTGCTTTTTTTCTTCCTCTTCTTTATGTCTAGTTTGTATATCAGATTTTCCTTTTTTTATGACAGTAAGTGCAGTAATTATTTGTGTGGCATTCATATTCCTTGAAATATTATTTTTTAAGTCTTAAATTTACAAACTAGAACCTAATATACTAGCGAAGTAAATTGGCGATGCACTAAATGCATGTGAACTATTAACACCTTATATCATCTGATTTTAAAAGTTGTCTTTGCTACAATTTAAATTGTGTTAAATGTCAAAGTGAAAATCACAAGTCACAAATCTAATTGATGTTGAGAATGTATTGTAGTTTAAAATTATAATAATTACAAAAGGGCACTCACTAGCACAATAGTTAGTTGAATGTAAGTTGCATATCACTTCTTTGACCTCGTTTCACATGCTTATTAACACAAAATACTTTCAAAATTTTGTCTTATTTTTGGAAGGGTGTTATATGATATCTTGGACATGTTTTTTCACAGAGTTTCCACACACATTCACTGTCAGCTTCGTGGAAGTATTCCCTCTTGCACAGTTAATAGTGGTAGCCATGGACCACCTGTCTAGTGTAAACATGACTCATTTCTTGATTGGGTTTCATCTGGTATCTGAGTATCATTAGATCTGAGGAGTAAAATTCTTCGTCTATTAGGTTTCTCTTTTGTGCCCTCTCCAACACTGCAGCCCTGTATGCCTTGGTGTCTGGTAGTGAGAAAAGTAACCTTATGTCTACAATTGGGAAGGTTTCTTTGGTCAGCGCATGTACGAATCTAGGAGAGAATTTTGAGACACATCTGCTTTTTTCAGATAGGTGGCCTTGATTGCTTCAATGACCTGCAGATCCTTTTTTTTCAGGTGTGGCTAAATTGCTTCAATACTTTAGGTGCTGATTGATAGGTTCTTAGTGTTTTTGTTTTGCAATAACTGCTGCAGCTTCCCTCTCTTTAAAAAGGCAGCTAAAGGTCAATCCAGTTTTCTGTAAGAGCGTAGGCTTCCGCGGCCTGAGTCAGTATTTACTAGGCTGTCCGGGTGACGCCTATTCCATGGCGAAGGTGCCGACGTTTCGGTCACCATTCTGCGACCTTCCTCGCCAGGCATTACGCCCTGAGGAAGGTTGCAGAATGGCGACCGAAATGTCGGCACCTTCGCCATGGACGCAGCGTCACCCGGACTGCCTAGTAAATACAATCCAGTTTTCTATAGTTATGCCTAGATATTTGTACATGCCAACAGTTTTTATTACTTCACTTTCCATTGCTATGGTTTCATTTCTGTCTATTTTGCTTCCTTTTCAAAACACCATCAAAATAATTTTCTTTCCGTTTACTCTCAGATTGTTCTCCGTTGTCCACTTACACAGGGAGTTCATGGCTTCTTGTAGGTTATTGATATTATTTGATGTTATCATCTGCAAATAAGTAGAGGGAGACTCCATCTATATCCTCAATAATGCTGCCAACCTGTAGTCTTTAGCCACTATGTTAATTAGTAATTCTAAGGTAGTTACCTTGAGTGGGTGGAATCCAAGGAAAAAGCTTAATACCATCTACCAAGGTTTCTAAAATATCAATAACAAATACATTTCAACAGATTTGTAAATGATTTCATATATAATTGAATGAGGCCCAAAAACAAATCTTGGATCAGTGCAAATTGCAAAAGTGCAAATTGCCCATTTGAGCATTACTCCTAATAAGATCTTACATTTGAATGTCCTTGTCGACCTTTTCCTTACTAGGGAGGATTGAATAAAATAGTCTAATGTAATAAAAAATGTGATTGAGCTCTCAAACCATATTCTTCCACAAATTTTAAGCATGAATCAATGAAATCTGATTCTCCCCAAAGAGCACTATTGTCATCAAGATTAAATTGTTAAAAGAAATATTCAAATACAGCATCAATGGCTAGGCAAATGGAGCTGACAAATTGCCTTTCATAAAATATGTATGTACTTTTTTTTCTGTCGAATAAAGTATGATATAAATTGTTGCTGTATTGCAATATTCATATTTATTTTCCAAGACATTCCTGTGTCATAGATCACCTAATTATGGTTCCACAATCATGATTGAACATTTGTAAACATGGTTTACACTAATTGACAGTACGCTGTCCACTTTAACCGTAAACACAAAACCACTTGGCATATTGTCTGAGTTGTATTCTGTTCATTGATACGAATTCTAATGAGTGGCAGGTAGTGCAAGCATAATAATGTGTTTTCTTGACAGAATTATCAGTATTCAATTTCCTTTCCTCATAATCAGGATTACAGGAGACAAAAATTCTCATAGTGACTTTTTAACCATGTGTTTCTCTAACCTCTTCTTTTCAACCATGTGTAAATCTTTCATTTGTGGAATTATATATCAGTAGCAATCAGTTGAAAACTCTTTGTCCAGGACGAATTCCTATTGTTGGCGTGGGTGGGATCTTTTCTGGAGAAGATGCATACAAGAAGATAAAGGCAGGAGCAAGTCTTCTACAGCTGTATACATCCTTCATTTATTATGGTCCGCCAAGGGTTTCTCGAATTAAAAGAGAATTAGAAGAATTGTTAACGTAAGTATACAATTGAGGCACTTGGGATTAGAAAATGGTGAGCCACTGCAACTGACTTTTAAAAGGGAGGCATTTGAAAGTCCAAGAATACTTCAAATCAGGTGATCAACATAAAGAATGTTCATTGCATTAAGAGATACTGTATATATGTCTGTGTTGTATTACACATTGCTTTGCCTGTGACTATCCAATCACAAGCAGAAACAAAAAAGATAAATTAAAAAAAAAAAAGTAATTCATCTTCATTTTAAGACATTCAGATTTATTTTTAATTACACATTACTTTGATATAATTTATCTACATTATAAGTTGACGTGACATCACACTGTATATATTATAAATAAAAATAAATCTGATGATCTGTAATTGAAGAGGAACAGTTTTTCTATTAATAAGTGTAAACATTCATCAGGAGAAAAAGATAAAAGTTTTGAAAAGGATATATATCTCAGTTTTACTTCTTAAATTGTCTAATCACAAATGATTCAAGTATTGAAGGTATGTAGGTTTATTGTAAATAGGGTTACTAAATACAGCTTTTACTATACATGTGCTGGGTTACATTTTTCAGTTAAGTCCAGCAGGCATTCTAACTTTTTCTAAAATGTCAAGCTTTTTCTTAATTCTTCATAATGTAATTTGTCTCATACTGTAAATAAAGCTAAAATTCTATATAACAAACTCGATGTTGATGTTGAGTCAATCATTACTTAATTTAATTTTTATTAGCTTCTCTGTTATATGTCTTCCTAGTACAGGAACAATGCAGTATTGTCAACAATTTGTGAACTATTTTGTATTGTGTAACCTCTGGTTAAATAGAAGTTTGAGTTGTCAGACAATGTTTGAAGAAGTGCTATTTTTTTCGAGACTGTCATGCATTTGAAAGGTTTCAGTTAGTAACCCTAATTCTGTATACTGTATTCTATTCAGTATTTGTCTCTTTTAGGGCTGATGGACTAAAAAGCATAGAAGAGGCTGTTGGGAAGGATCATCTCCAAAGAAAATGATATTAGTTGTAAAATGTATGTAATTATGTGTATTTTAACTGTGTAACATTTTATTCTAGTTCAATTTCTTGTGAATATATCAATTTTAGTTCATTTTATGAAAACATTGGATATTTTTATGGTGCAATGAATTTATATATGAGATTTTAATTATTGTTGTAAACTAATGTTCTTAACTTTGTAAATATTATTGTACTGTTTATTTATTTAATTGCTTTGTGTACATGTTTGCCCTTTGATCCAGCGTTCTTTCTTATTATATAATTATAAGAATAAAAAGGGTGATGATAAAAATGTGTAGAATCATTTTTTACCATATATAAAATCCATTGGCCTCCTTTCATACAAGTTTCATATCAGATTTTTCTACGGAAATGCACTTCTTGGTCTACCTGTTCGGGACATACATTTTGCCTCCAGTTGGATCAAAGGAACATTGGAAAATGTGAATTTTTTAACTAAAGTGATTCAAATGCATTCTTGCTTGTTCCTTCATACATATATTCATGAAGTATCGCATCAAAAACAGAAATTATGGTGCGAATTCAAAAATAATTTAATGGTAATGAAATTTGAATGCGTAAAATTGTCAGCATTTTACCTCTAGTTTGGAAAGAATCGCATAATTTGGAATCAATGAATTATATTTGTACCAGTTCCAAATAATTTATTTCACTTTTAAGAATTGGATATTTTTTTACTCATTTTACTGTTCTTACCTACAACCCTCTGTCATTTATTGACTGAGCAAGAAAATGAATGTCCTCTGGTGTTTTAGTTATTGTTAATGGTTTACCTGTCATGTAATGTATATACATTGAATAAATTTGAGTATATTTTTGCAAAACAAGGGGTAGTATACTTCTTGTTGAAATTGTTTTATTCGAATCTGCAAGGAAGAAATACTGGCGTTGTAAACTTACTGACTACTAAACACGAGAGTCAGGTCGCAAATCGCGTATTTCCGATTACGCGATTTTCCTCATATTCGAAATTTTGTATTATTTAATTGCCGTAGCCACTGCAGGTATATGAACTTTCCAAAGAAATGGGGCACATTCTTCTGTCACTTATGCATCCTGAAGATTCTGATAATTAACATTATTGTGGTCAACATTTAGTTAATTTCGTTAACCATTAGGATATAATTTATTAGCCTCTTCATTCCGCACAATTCCATAAATAATTTTATGGAAGTTTCTTCAACCCAAATCATGGTGTAGCTTGAAACTTTCCATATAGAACAATGCGGGTAGCGAAACTAGACTCGTTTGTTTTTACAAAAGACAACAATATTTGTTAAAAGTTAAAAGCTGTTTCCGAATGCGTTTTATTTTAAAAACATTGAATGTTACAGCAAAACAATACAATATGTGCGGATTTGTTGGCTCGCTTTCGACTTTCTCACTGCTGGCAAGGAAAGTCTGACTTAATTGAAGAGCTTCGTAATCTTTCATCGTATCTTGTTGTATTACGTACTACGGTAGCTGAAATGGAAAATATTAGGTCTCCCCAACCCATTCATCGTATTATTTTGAAAGGAATTTCATTTTCTATGCAAAATATAACGTTCTAGAAACGATCATTAATTTTTAAAATCTCATAAAACCCGCCGTTTGCATAGTGGCGCTATCACGATGAGAAATCTCTAGTCACTTAATTTTGTTTTGTTTTCCAGGCCGCCAAAATTTAGGGTATTGAAGTAATTGCTTGAGCAATACGATATCATTCTGTTGCTGAATTTAATTGACTGATAAACAAAAAAATAACCATTAAAAAAATATTGTGACGGCAATCGAAGTCAATGAATATTCCCCGCATCACGTACTACAGCCGCAGACATTTTTGGGCATGGTTGAACATTGTGTGGAACAGGTAAATTGGGATTGAGTATGTACAACTTGTTTTAAATTTCATGTGCATTTCTTGACCGGTGTCATTCGTTCAATAATCTATTTTATAAATCAAAGATTAATGTACAGTTTCTTGTAATAAAAACCTATGTAAATATTGGAAGAAGTTTGTTGATATAATAAATCAACTTTCCCATTTTTATATACATTAAGAGGCAAATTTCCCATGTGTAAAGCACTGAAAATAATGGGTGTAGTAAGTATTAATTATTTTTGGAAACTCTAAGCAACTTTCATATCAAGTCTTTCCAAGAAATTTTTGAGGGATCTGTTTCTGAAAGAATATTATTTACTCTACCTACATCACTGGATAACCTTTTCTATCAGAATGTTGATATAGAAAATATAGTTGTTTTTTTGTTCTTTTTTTGACATATGTAAATAATTTTAACACAATTGAAATCAAAACTGCTAATCAGTTTGAGTATTTCATAATATAGATTAAATTGCTTGCTCTAAACCAATAGGTTGGTTATTAATAGAAATTGGTTGGTTAACTCCAATTTTGCAGTTTGCCAAAGTCTTGAAGAGCTGACAGTAAAGAAACACAAGAGTATCATTTAACAATACAACTATGAATTATAAATACTACAAACATTAAATTAATGTCACTATTTACAAATTATGAAAAACACTGTTTTGAACTACAAACAAAACTGCAAAAAAATCTAATTTTGTACCAAAAAAAACCCCAACTAAAATAAAAAAGTTTCTTTGGCAACAAATTGACTCAGAAATTACATTTGCTGTACCAATATTGCTGGATATTATTGTTATTAAACATAGTTATAGAAAATATAGTTGTAATTATTTCTTCTTTTTCTTTTTTGAATAACTACATCTAGTCTTGATACATATTTTACAGTCGATGATAAAGTCTCTTAAGAACTATTTTAAGAAAAGTCATTGAAAATCTGTGACACATGGTATGGATCAAGTGTGTTATTTAAAAAATTTGTAATTAACATATTAAGTAATTGATGTGTTATCATTCTGATTAATTGTAAACTATTCTAGGCATTGGATGAGTTTTTTGTTACCTTTGATTCAATCTTCATTTCTTTCAAAACAAATTTAACCCATATTATCTTAAACTGAAGATGTATTTTTCTGTTAACTTTGAAACCACGCAATACTTTTATTGTATGCAAGTATTATTACACTTTTTATCATATTATTTCAGAGTTGATAATGATAGAATTCAGGAAGTGGGCCCTGATTTGGCTTGTGCTGAATGGCTGATGCGAAATGGTGCTTTGGTCAAATGGGCTGGGAAGGCAGATTATCTTAAAGATTATGATTCCCTGAAAGAAGGTGAAGGAAAGGGAGGATATTATATAGAAGAAATAGATGCCACAGAAGCCAGTATTATGCATGTGGGATTCCCTCATTTTCGTAAGTTAACTTTCAGAGGTTTTCTGCAAATAACTGCATATTTTGTTGCTTCTTTTACTGAAAATCCTCAAATACATAGATGGCTGTAAACACATCAAAAAAATTAAATTGCAACGATGCTCTAATGTAGAGGACAAAGCGTTAAAGAGCTTGGAAATTCTCAAGAATTCTTTGCAGCATTTGCAAGTAATCAGCTGTGGCAATGTGACTGATAAAGGAGTCAAATCTCTGACGACTCTTGTGTAAGTAGATTTCATTATCCCTTTATGTGATTAGGTTTGTTAGTGTAAATATTAATTGATTTTTTTATTGTAGAAATCTAGAAACTTTGCTTCTGTATGACTTACCAGAAGTAAAATGTTGCAAAGATTGTGCCCTTATCCTGCAGGAAAGTCTCCCGAAATGTCAAGTAGACTATAGAGTAACTGAACATCCACATAAAAGGTATCACTCAACTGCAGGTCAGTTTACACATTTATAACTACTTTTTTCTAATATTCACATTATAAAAAGGGAAATTTCACTAATTTATCTTATTGCAGATTGTCCTCAGGACACTCCAGAGAAGAAGACTGATATTCGTGAATAACAGAATAACTGCAAAACTTAGCCTTTCCTTAGATTTATGATATTTATTTAAAACTTGTAGTAATGAGTTGTAAGGGTGAAAAACATGTATATTAACTAGGCTATATGAAACTAGTTGTGAAATGTCAATAAGAACATTACATCAGTAATAATGCCATTTATTTCATGTGATACATTTTCTTCTGATATTGTATTTCAATTTTTTATCTTCATACATGAGGCTGTATTAAACTTCTGATGTTGTCATGCCACTGTAGAAGTTCAGAAATCTGAAGAGTGACACTGCTTCTACTTGTTCCTCCTTTTACTTGATACTGTTCCACACTGCTTTCATAATTCCATATTTCATTGATATCGTCTTCAAAGAAATTGCTGTAATACACAATGCTATTGTAATAATATTTCAACTGATATTTTAAAGCAAAAATTACATTTATGTAAATTTATATTTTAAAGATTTTATTCTTGATAAAAATTTTATTCCTTTTTTATTATAATAAGAACACAATATTTTTAATTTTAGGTTTTAATTTATTTTTATGCCTCCAAGAATACCATAGGTATACCAAATAGAAATTTACAACTAAATGTTCGGGAAGGCCGTCTCCAAAATACTTGGAGTGTTTGTAAATATGTGTGTTTTAATTGTGTAACACTTTTTCTACATGCAATTGAACATTTCCCAACATCTTTTCCCTCTACTATCATTGAAAAATAACTGAAATTTCGGGCTTTGAACATCTGTTTATATAGATCATTTTGTGGAATCTGATAATGTATATATCATTTGTGGAGACCTACGAAGCCAGACCAACTAGAGAGATTTTTCCTGGCATTAAATTGAAATAATTTAATCTAACCCTGGTACCTAACAAGTAATGTGAATGTCACTGGATATTGTAGGTTGATCATTTTTGTGTTCTGCTTTCAGAGATTGTATTGTAAAATTAACATGCTTCCCATGGCTTCACCGGATGGATCATGTAAAATTTGAAACGTGTACAAAAAGAACTATTGAAAAACTTATATAAACTATGAACAGTGTAACGTTCAGAGTTATTTTCTGGAAGCAGGGTCTTGAAAAACTTGAGGATGTAGTGGCATTCTTACGGGAGTAATTTGAAAATAAAATGAAACTGGAATATTTTCTTCAATATACTTGAATTGATTTTACGCAGGTACTATAAAGTTGATATTTTTTAAACAGTGTTTTAATAGGTAGTGAATTTTACTTTGAAGTGGTTAATTGTGAACAAAATTTCCATCATTTTAATGTTCTTTGGTGATTTCTTATAAACTGGATATTTTATTCTCTATTTACGATTGTTTATGCTTATGAAGGCCTTATTAATTTAGGACATAAATTACTTGGCAATCGCCCAAATGACAAGGCCCATTACAAAGTATACTTAACCCCACCATGAGCATTAGTGATACAAGTGTGGATGATTTTATCTGAATTATATGCAACTTTTTACATTTTGATTGAGAAACGTTCATATTTTACTTCAACCTGGGAATCCCATAAAGAATGTAGCTTGAAACACAAATGATAATGCACTTAACAAACATTTAGTGACTGAGCTTCTGGTAAGAGGAATACTAATTCCCTTTGACTCCACATGTGGCTAACGTATTTGAGTGCAATGTAATGAATATCTTAAGGGATCCGAAGAACTTTTGAACTATGAATAATATTGATCATATGTAAATCATAAGTAATATTAAAATAAACAATAACCTGTCGAAACATTTTAACCTTTTAGGAAAATGAATAAGTTTTAAAGATTAATGAGTGCCCATCCAGCAGGAGCCCAACGCACAATCGTGGTCTATTTATACTTTAATCAATCCATCCATCCTTCGATGACCAATGTGTTCTTCCCTTTCTAAATCTTCCAGTGGATTGCAGGTGTTGGACATTGATATAAAATCATACAAATTTGCCAAATAGAAAAGAAAGATAGATCCCTTTTGAACAATTTGTGTAGTTTCTTCACATTTTTAACACTAAAATTGTGGTGGAGTTGAAGGATACTCTTTCGGGCTTGTTTTATACATCAACTATTGCTGAAATCAGTATGTGAACAATTTTTCTTTAAATTCTCAAAATTATTTATCACTATTGTAAACAATGGTTAAACATATTTTTGTAAACAAATATAGCTTTATTTTGTCTAATATACTATACTGTACTGTACTATGCTATATACTGTTGATATTAAATTTAATTTATGTTTAACATAATTTTTTTACCCTTGCAAAATGTTTCAAAATTTTGAAAAGAGGAGCTGGATTCTCATTAAATGCTGGAGGATAATTCTCAAACCCACCCTGTAACACTTCAAAGAAATGCATGTGGCAAACTACATTTGAATTTTGCAATAACTTTTCCATCACCTCCCTACTGTTGTATTGGCAGCTCCAAATTCTTTGAAAAGTTAAAAAAATTACCTTATATCTCTCAATGTATTTAAAGGTAAATTGGATACAGTAACTCTTTCTTGTTCAGCTTTTGCTACAACTTCACCAGCAAGATGATGTGCTTCTCGGAAAGAAACCTAAAATGTAATAATGATATGTAATTTTTGATTCAGGGTGTCAGTATTTCAGTACACTTTTTAATTTTTGTAATGAAATCACTCACCCCTTTTTTAACTAAATAATAAGCGACATCAGTAGCCAACATGTCTGGACTAAGAGCTGCTCTACAATTAAAGTTCTTGACCTGAAATATAAAGTAATCCCTGAATCCCTAGCAACTTATTACACATTTCAAGCCTTTGCCATAGAATAATATTCTTGCGTTTTATCAATAGTAGTAGTCACCTGTAGTGTGTTAATAACACCTCCTGCAACTTGTAGTATTGCCTTCAAACAATCAAATACAGCAAACATGGCAACTTTATCTTCTTGTAAGTCTTTGTTGTATGTAGATGGGAGACCTTTTAGAATCATCATAACTCCTGTGCACTATTAGTAAAGTTAAAAAAAATTGTAAATATTCATTGTCAACTGAGTGCTGCATTTGGGATTATGTGCTACAGACAGAAACATCAAATATCAGTGAACCGTATACATACATGCCCATATATTTTTCCTGCTGTTCCCCGTATTATTTCCAGACTATCTGGGTTTCTTTTTTGGGGCATCAGGCTGCTGCCAGTAGAATAAGCTTCTGACAGAGTTACAAAACCAAATTCTTGGCTGCTGAAGAGAATCAAATCTTCTGCCAGTCGACTGAGATGAATTGATGTGAGTGATGCCCAGAACAGGAACTCCACTTTGCAATAAAGTTCCAAAGGGGTCATTGCACAAATTTTGTGAAAGATAGCTTGAAATAAACTAAATTTTCATACCTATGAAGTCTCTATCACCAACAGCATGCATGCTATTGGACGACACTTGTTGAAAGTCCAGTTCATCAGCAAGAAACTGACGATCAATTAGAAATGGGTTTCCAGCTATGGCTCCACTTCCTAATGGAAGTACATTTATTCTCTCGGAGAGTTGTTTGAGGCGATCGTGATCAGCTTTTAGACTCCAACAATAGCTGAAGATGTGTTATTATATAAAGTTCTTACTACAAATATTACAGTAAAGATACAAAGTTTATTTTAACTATTCCTTGAGGTTAATTTATGATTTTATCTTAAACAAGATTATTTAATATTCTATCCCCCAAAAAAGTATTGTCAAGTACTGGCAATGATGAAAAGAAATTAACTCTTACTAAACACAAGCTTATTCAACAGCTTTTAAAATAAAAATAAAAATAAAAAATAAAATTGGTTACTGAAATAAAAGAATAAAAAAAAGACTGGAATAATGTAAGTTTCTGTGATAATTCATTTTTATTGATCTTATCTACTATTGTCAAACAAAGTAGGACAGATGACTACTGGTATCTGCTCTGTTTAGCTTAAGGTTGTGGGTTCAGATTCAACTTTGGTATCAACATTTTTGCCATGATTGTGGTACGGAAGTGAAAGGCGAGGCTGAATCAACTAAATCACAATGCACAGTTCTGTAGTTGTTCTGTAGAACCCAAAAATCAATTCTCAAATGCTTGTTCATCAAGTTGTCACAGCACTGGTAGATCTAATGTATGTTCTTTCTTTCTTTCTTGACAATCTATGTTTTTGTTAAATAACTTAACTTAATGATGTTACAGAAATTTGATTTCTTTACAACAAATGCCTATATTGCTAAATGTATTTTACTTTTACCATACCTTAGCAACCAGTGGCTCCAACGTACAGGCTGTGCTCTCTGTAAATGGGTGTATCCTGGCATCAGGATATCTATTTCTTGTTGAGCTCGAACAGTGCAGAGCTATATTATAAAACAGTTTTGTTCTTTTTGTTTCGGTTGTTGCAGTATCTATTTAATGTATGAAAACTATTTACCTTAATAATGTCACAAAGAAGTACACTGAAGTCACCGAGGCCAGATCGCAGCCACAGTCTCATATCGGTGACAACTTGATCATTGCGACTTCGACCAGTATGTAACTTCAATGCTGAATGACCAATCAATTCCTATTTAAAAGTTCTAATGAGTTGGAAGTAGGCAATTAAAATTCTGTCTTACTAGAAGACAAAAATATTTCTCTTACTTTTAAACGTCTTTCGTTTGCAGTGTGGATATCTTCATCTGAAGGCAGAATAATGAATGTATTTTTCTCCCATTCTTCATGCACCTATATAAATATTAATTTATTGAAAATATGTTGAATAAATCCCAACAAATTTGATTAACAATTATCACTTAAACTTCAAATCACACAGCAAAATTGTTATGAAACCGTCTTAGGTATATGAGAGCTCTTGTACACATAAGATTAGGGAAATATTTTGAATGATTAAATAATGTAGGTAATTGTAAATACAATTTCAAATCTGCAATAGAATGAATAATTTGTACCAAAATTGAACCAAAACGATGATCTGCAATTGCATGGATTTATTTGTAATTACATAAAATGTACCGTACCATATCTAATCCTTTCAAAATTTCCTTTGATTCATCCTCTGTTAGCAACCCTGCTCTGAGAAGTGCTATGGTGTAAGCACGACTCCCCTGGAAAAGAATAAATGGAATTTCATGTAGTATTTAATAAAAAGCTTTTAAAATGTATAATTAAGAAAAATTACTTTTAAATCCTCTTTCCACATTCTCTTATCATATGAGATTGATGCATTGAGAGACTCTAGAACAAGATCAGTCTTCTCGGAAAATCTTCCACCCCACAGCTTTCTATTGTTGCTCTTCAAAAGAAATAAAATCAAAAAAAATAACTTTCAATCAGTTCATTACATATTAATGATTATAGTAGCTTACTATATTTTTTTAAGCACAGTAAGTTAATTTGAGATTAGTACAATTAAAAACACAAGTAACATACTTCTGGATTCATTGATAAAATTATGTTTTCTGGAAAAATAGTAAGTCCTTGTAGGTCTGGAGATATGTCAATTAAACAACTAGTTTTGAACTTTGGAATTTACTTTTCTTGTCAGTAGACTATTGTGTAACGTTGGTGTCATAATGTGTGATTTATTTCTTTTATTTCGGCCTTGTTATTTTTAAAACTAACGCTACAGTATGTTGAATACATCGATGTTAAAGTAATAAATTTATATTTTTGGCCTGTAGGGATCGAAATCAAATTATGATTCCGGAGTATTAAATAAATTGTCTTGTTGTCTTATGACAACAGGAAATCTGATCTTTCGTGTGGCGCATGCGATATCCCTGATTGTGTGGGCGTAGGTTTCATGATTTATTATTTTATATTCAGTTCGCATACAAAAAACTCAAAGCGGAATCATTTTCGTCATTAAGAAAACACTATATGGACTCTGGATGTATTGCGAACATTAATCCAATTTATCAGTTTATCATTAATTTGTTTTCAACCCTTTGACCTTCTACTTCAGAGGGAAGAGAAAATTGTTGAAGCAGGCAGAAGCACTGCATAAGTGAGCATAAGTGATAATGCAATAGGATCGGGTATCGACGAACCAATGCAATTCAGGAGTACTCGTCCTAAGTATTAAGTGGATTATTGTTAATTTCTGACGTGCACATACAGACAGTCACCATTAAACAGGCGGTGCGTGTACTCGTTTCGCGGAAGAATACATATAAATAAGTGTGGTCACTGTGTCATCGCTGTTATGCATCACTTTAAACACCTGAAAGAAATTAACTTTATTTAGGTGAAGTTGCATATTGTCTGAAAATCTAACATGTACGCTAGATGATAACAATCTAATGTTAGGTTCTGTATGAAACATAGTTCGTCAGTGAGTAGGTGCGGCCATGTTGACCTGTAGCAGAAAACTTTAGGATTAATTTGGTGTGTTATTATTGTTCCAGAAACATAATGCCGAAATGTGATAGTTTCACGAAATATATACCTGCTACAGTTGCCTGGGTATTACTTTTGGGGACAACAACGTTGTTCTTCTACTTTCCGTGAGTATCAGTGCTACTCAGGTGCTACTGGCCTCCTTTGCTATAGCTATGACGAGTTTCTACTTTAAAATACATTGTCAAAATCACTACGGCTTTTTTTAATAAAATTTCTATTCGACAATGCAGTTTGGCATTTCTTGTTTGCATTGAATTATTTGGAGTTCACAATTTTGAAAAGTAAAACATCAAGTCCATGGCATCATTAGAACTGTCAACATTTCACTTAATGAGATATTTTTAACGTTTACGGCCCAGTTCCTTTCATTCTTGTGGCAGAAAATTAATAATGTATTCCTTATTATTATGTATTTTTGTTCACTACTTTGTTTCATTTTTTAAATATTTGATTGATAAATAGTTGATGAATCTAATGTGTATATAATATTAGAATTATCTACAGTTATGTTGATATAAAAATCTCAAGGGAAAGTTTTTAGATTGGTATTATCAACCAATATTAAAAACATCCTTTTATAGTTTATATAGTGTTAAAGAATTAAGGAATTGAGAAGTAACACGAGTTGAACAAGCATTTCTTGAGTGTATGTATAAGAATCTGCCTTTTTTTATATATATATGATTAAAACAAACCAATTTACTGTGAGTTATTTCCGCAAGTCAGTTTTAGTGAGATAATTTTCTTGTTCTTAGATGCAGGGATTATTTACCAGATTTTCCATGGATCCCAGCATATCAAGGTGTAATCACTTTATTTGTGATTGCCAATTTCACATTGGCCACATTTATGGATCCTGGAGTCATTCCACGAGGTAAATTAATTGGACCATTATATGATGAATCTTATATGGAATTGTTAAAAGGAATGTTTAGTGTGCATGCATAGTTAGTATGCATAATATGAGAATTATGTAATTAAAAATTATGTAGAACTATTGATTCACATTTTAAAAGTTGTTTCCTTTCTTTCTTACTTTTAGCTTCCCCAGAAGAGGACAGGGAGGATGATTTTAGAGCACCTCTCTATAAAAATGTTGAAATAAATGGTATCACTGTGCGCATGAAGTGGTGTGTAACCTGCCAGTTCTATCGGCCACCTCGCTGTTCTCATTGTAGTGTGTGCAATGTATGCATAGAGGTAAGCTGTGCTTTTTTTTAACACTTAAGTATGTTTTCATTGTAATTTATATCAATTTCTTAGAGGGGTTCATAAATTTGCTAACATTTTTATTGACCTTCATTATTGCTTGGCCATTGTATGTCACTTCATGCATAGTATTTTTTTGTACCTTATGTTTTTTGACTTGCAAGAAAGCAAAGATAACGTGAAACAATCCTAATTCTTGGAAATGCTTCTCATTTTACATAAAACAAACTGGTTTAGTCAATGCAAAATTACCATTGAATTTTTTTATGTCAAAAAATTCATTCATACTATGCTTACTCATGGAGTGACCAAGCTAATGTGTGGTTCAAACAGAATTTTTGAAAGAAATATGATTCTAGGTTTTAATATTACTTGTATTTTTTGCTTTTGCAGACATTCGATCATCATTGTCCTTGGGTCAATAATTGCATTGGCCGGCGGAATTATCGTTTCTTCTTCATGTTTCTTATATCTTTAAGTTTGCATATGACAAGCATATTCACCCTCTGTCTTGTGTATGTTTTGGGCCATAAAACAGATTTGACAAAAGTTGAAACTATTGTAGCGTATCCTTTTCAATATATTCTGGTGGTGATAGATGTGCTAAAAGAATATATGAAAGTAGATTATTAAATTGTTTTTAATTAAACATTGAAAACTTTTATAATTCTCATGTGAATGAAACTTGAGTATGCAATTCAAAAAAAAACAAACATTCCTTAACGACCTTCATAGTATGGTACTAATGGGTATTATTGTTCTCTTGGTTATCCCAATTTATGGTTTGACTGGATTCCATATGGTGTTAGTTTCAAGAGGTCGTACAACTAATGAACAAGTTACAGGCAAATTCAAAGGTGGTTATAATCCATTTTCAAGAGGTTGTTCTCGTAATTGCTGCTATATTTTGTGTGGACCTCAGTATCCCAGGTGAGGATGGTTGTTTCATTTAAAAAGTAATAAAATAGTGTATCTGAGTGTTTACTATTTTAATAGTAACAAGAACATATAATTTTTTTTTTCAATGAATGAGGTTCAAATACATGGACTCTCGCTAAAATCTCATGTACAATTGTAAATGTCACTTGAAACCATGGAGAGTAAATCCCCTATCATTAAGTACATCATAAAAAGGTGTGATTTTTCTTCTAAAAAATGATAATGTTCCTTTTTCAAATTATTATCTAATTGCAGTTTGTTGAACGCCAGTAAGTACGTGGGCAAGCCGAAAAGATACCCCTTGTCTGCTTCTGCAATTTCAACCATAACGAGTGAGAACCAGGTAAAGACCTACATGGATAACAGCAATGGGGTTAGAAATGCCAGTTCGAATGCTTACAATAAGGTAAGAGCCAGGAGATGCTGTGCTGATCTTGTTCTCCTTGCTAACCATGCACGATGTGATGAAGTTGATGACCTTGCTTGCTTTTCTGCATGTATCGACACTGTACCTTGCCTCATTTTGTCAGTGAAATATGCCATGAAATATCAGATCATAGTATGTATTAATTACAGAATTTTGTCCTTTGTGTAAAAATATCAAGATGCAAAGCTCTCTATGGCCTGCAAATCACAATATGGCTGTATGATATTTATGCAATGTAAGATTTCACTTATAAACAGTTCATTGTATGCAAATCCTCTCCTGGAGTGTGTTTTCATTTGAAGGAGCTTATATACAAATGTGTATATTTTGTAATCAAAAGTTCCCGAACTTTCTGCCTGTACTCTTCCCACTGATGCTACTTCACCTTGCTGTATGCCAGATCTCCTTGCAAGTCTGGTTGGCTAATGTAGCTGCATGTTGCTTGCTTTGTACAAGGCATAAAGTTTTGCTTTAAATGTGTTGGTTGGATGGAATCCCATTCTTCTGTGTTAAACTTTCTTCATTTCTGCACGGTATAAATGAAGCATTATTTTGACCATTTGAGACCTAGTGAAGTATTTCACAAAATGGTAGACCTCTATCATTTTCATAAAAATTGACATAGTTTTCAATAATTTTTTGTGATAGAGTTACATCAGCGCTTTGTCTGCATATTTTCATTTTGAGAATGAGATTCTTCAGGGTATTGTTGCTTGAAATGAATATCGTTAATAAATTCATTATATTGAATAGTGCATTTTCAAGTCAACGTATTGCTATTTCAGTATGTTGCAAAACATTGAATTATGAATTTTCTGTAGGCATCTTCCATCACAATATCATTGTTTCGAAAATTGTTGCTTAAATTTTGATGCTATATTAGTTTAATTAGTTACCAGTTTCAAGAAACACCAAAATCTTTTTCACAAGTAAGTACTTATGCTTTTGTAGTTGAGGGGGTTAGAATATGTGCTGTTAAATAACAATAGATTTTCTTGTAGAACTTGACCGTTACCATGCTGACCATCCCTTGTGATTCCTTTGTTCTCCAGCGTAACGTCTCTCGTCCTGGGGCCAGTAGGCCAGTCAGCAGTCAGCCAAAACAACATGGTTCTTCAGAAACTAAAATACCTGTGAAACAGATTCATGAGAGTGCAAAAGGAGATAATCTGATATTAGGGGAGACAGAACAGATAAATACAGATAGGGAAGTTTCAGTGATGGGCATTGAATCTGATATTGATAACATTGTGGCAACTAGCACACCTGGTCTGGCATGGGTATGTGAGGATGCACCTCTCACGCCCGTTACGAAATCTGTCCAAATTCAAACAAGTGATGATGAACATGTAATTCAAAAACATGTTCGTGAAGCTGTAACACAATCTCGTGCATTAAAAGTAACAAATCTCCCTGATATTACCATCACTCCTAGAATGTATGTTTCTAATCAAGCCCGTTTCAGTGATGAGTCAGACATCGGAAGTGATGTAAATAGTAAACAAAAACTGGTTGATGAATATTCCAGTTTTTCTAGGCATCGTACTGACAAACAGAGAGGTGATTACAGAAGCTGTCAGATTCAAAAAAACAGGCTGTCAACCAAAGGGAAAAGACTTTCCATATCAGAGGATATACAGCCAAAACTTGCGTGGTTACCGGAAACTGAAAATGTTCTTAAGAAGGCAGTGAAAAGTGATCATGGTTAACTTCAAGGAGCAATCTTCTTGAAACATTCATTTGAGGCCTCCTTGCTCCAGAAGGCGCATTTCAAGATCAGAAGTTTTAGTTACTCTTATGTAGTAAGTTGAGAAGTTTAGAAAAAGTATTGTTTATAAAAGTTGTACAGTGATGCTTTCTCACTTGCCACACACAACTCTTGCACAAGAAATTGTGCTTTCAGTGAATGAAGTACCAAAATATTTAATTGATATCACTTAAAAGTAGTTTGTATCTACTTATCTATAGACTTCATGACTTCCACCTGCTGCAGCAGTCTGCAGGTGTATGCAAGGAGATGACTATCTACAGTTGAGACAACAGACAGTTCATCTTGCAGCAAGCTTCTTTTTCTCAGAATATCATGCCTATTCTGCATGCATTTTTGCTAATAATGTACAGGCAGACAGCTCTCTGACAACAATGTTGAGAAATTCGCACAATTTGAAAGTGAGGCAATTTGAGTAACATATTTTTCTAGAGAGATAGGTATCCTATAGGTGATGGGATGTAGTTTATGAAAGAATATAATATTACAAGTTAAAGTTCTTTGAATAGGAAAAATAATGTAACTCCTTTTATCGAGATGCATGCCTGGACAAATGCATGGCTGATTTATCCTTAGTCCTCATACATGGGGTGAGTGGTAGCAATTTATTATCCTGCAAGATCTTTGTGCTGGAATTGAAGTTTGTGACCTTTACTTTATTTAACTCACCATTTAGTAAGTATTGAGATTCTTGCTTACATGCATGGCAGAAGTTGGGGAAATTTTCTAATCATGAATATTATTTATGTTAGTTTAGTTTTCTGTAATTACCCAGCCTTAGAGACTAAAAAGTGTATCAAAATTTGGTGTCGTGAAAATATTGGTGTCAAGTGATTTGTAACAGTTGTATTTTGTATGGTGTTTTTGCAATTAGTCACTTCCATGATTTGGGTGAAAATTTCCCAGCCTTTGTATAATGTATGTAAGCACTTTTTCTGTTGGGTATTATAAATTTTGGCATTTAGGATGACACAGCTAGCATATTATAAGTTATTCACAAAAACTATTCAAATACTTCATTTACTAGTGAGCAGGGGATGTGAACATGTGAAGAAATTTTTTTTGCAGTGTGTCCTCGAAATTTAGGGAGCTGTATGTTTGAATAGGTGTGGGAACAAAGTGAAAAGAATGAAGAACAATGCAGTGCAGTCATCCTGACCTGCACCCCAATCCCTGTCAATGTTCTTGTGTGCTTGGAGCTGCCTCTTGAATGGGAAAGCACCTTACACAAGTGTTGTTTTCCTTCTCAAGCACTCTGTCACAGTATTTGTGATATTCTTTGTATCTTTCATTGTGATGAAAGTTGTATGCTATGCCTATAAACTTCACGTATGCAACCACCTCACTGTTGAGTGTGTGTATCTTTGATGCTTTTTGTGTTGTTTTTAAACATTTTTACTATATTTGTATAAATATTTCATTAGAGAATTCAAATTTGCTTATCCATGAAAAGCTTTTTGACAGTTTCGTTAAGCTTTCAACAACTTATTATTTCTTTAAACGTAGTTTCTTAACCCTTCGACTACACATGTATGTCCTTCATGTACCAAGGGGGAGTGAAGTTACTGTATGGAAAATGCAACAGAAAATTAATATTTTTAATGTAAATGTCATAATATTGTTTTGGTTTATCAGATTAAACATTACTTTGAGTTATTGATACATGTTTGATGACTTTTAACTATAAAGATACTATAGAGTAACTACGAAGATGAATACACTACCACAAGCTCGCAAATAATTTCTTTTATAACCTCAAATAAAATTACAAAAATATGATACCAACAGGATGAATGTAACCTGTAGGAAGGCTACATTCCATATTTTTAAAGGTATTGCAGCTTCTCATTTAAGAAACAACTATACAAAATATTGGGAGAAAAGAAATTAAAATGTGCGTTGGGATAATGGAGTTATCCTTGAGAAGATAGTCGAAGGGTTAACAAGATTGATAAATTTATTTTAAATATAGTCATTAAATTGATGAAAATAATCAGTCAGTTGTTCAATAAATTGCTCTCATGACTTGTGTTTATTTAATAAAATGGAATTGAGAAAAATATTGTGTATTTTCAGCTGTCCCCAGGACGTGGTGAAGGTTCAGATACTGATATGGAACCAACAGCGTCTCAGTCACAGGACTGTGAACCTACTCCACCATTGCAACGCCATGGTTCCAAGAGCAATTTCTTCCTGCCACCTGTGGAAGGAGGTGATTCTCCTCGTAAAGGCAGCCATCCTCAGCAGATGAGAGGATCTTTTCCTCGAGGTAGTCCTCATCCTCGACCAAGGTAAATGGAGCTCTGCGATGGTCAGCTTAAGGAGAGTTAGTTGAGGGTTGAATGAAGTGTGGGTGTTGTGCCAAAATTGCATTCTCTATTCCATTTACAGTAAAACTTCACTTATACGTTTTTGAAGGGACTGAAGGGGAAAAAATGTAGAAGTGAGAAAAGCTCATAACTGAAATTGTATATTATGAGCTGAACAAAAACGCAATATTTTTACGTTGGCAACTTCACTTTTAGACCTGCTCACAGGAATTCCTACCCATGTTACTTTTGATTGAATTAGTTTATTTAGACAAAGAACAGTAAAAGCTGTATGTGACTTATTGGGTAGAAGAACAATCTGTGCATGCTTTCTTGAGCTCCAGAATCTCTTTCCAGTATTTTAACTGTAGATGAATGATGAATGACAGCTTAAAAAAAAGAGAAATTAGCAACTTTTGAAAAATAGACATTTACGTTCCCAAGTTATAGAAAACGTATTTGCATCAGTTGACATTTCAGTTTTTTTAATTATCATTAGTACGTCCTGAACTCTACTCCTACCGCTACTAGAAGAAGGAGAGCGCAACAAAACATGCACATAGTGAAGCTACGTTTATGTCAAAAAGCAAAACAAGGGGGCCATCCGAGCATTTGCTCAATGGATCAGAAACAACAAAAACCTGATCGTGATGGAAGCTGAAGTACATTACTTGTTACTTTAAAGAAATAGGTCAGGCATAGGCATGCCTGGAGGAAAAGATAGTGCTATTATTCGCACTTTATTCAGTCAATCGTAAAATGTCATTATAAATTTCTGATTCCCTAGAGCAGGACTTTGCAATTGGTGGCATGTGGGCAGCACGCGAACAGTTGTATTATACTAACAAAATACAATGTTTTTTTTAGTTATTCTGTTAGGCATTTTTATTATTACATAACTATAATTATAAATGTGAAATAACCCTCAACATTAGTGGTATACTGAAAGTCTTATATTGTAGAGATAGCTGACAGATTATAAATTGTATTATAATGCTTTGTATTGTTCATCAAATTGTTTGTGAATTCCGAAAGGCCCCTACTGTTGATTTGGATTTGTCATTTTTCTCTCTCATTAAGTGTCTTTCAGTGGTCATTCAGTTTCGCAATGTATTGTACATCAATTCAGTTTTGTCGCAGACCTTTATGGTGTTATTGTGTTAAAAACTTGAGGCATGGCTTTTATTGACTTAGTGAAGATATCAATTCTTGATTTTGATTTACAATATGAGTGGAAAGTCAGTCAAATGTAAAATTGAGAGAGAACTTAGAAAGACAGTTGGAAATTTGATTACTTAATTGCAATGAGCAATGGAAGACTACAGTGTTTGGTGTGCATGCAAGTTGTTTCAATGCCGAAGAAATATAAAGACATTATTCAACAATACATGAGAGCAAGTATTGGAATTACATGGAAGAAACAAGACAAATTTTAATGAGTGATCTGAAGATGCAAATTAAAACAGCAAACGAGTATCTTTCAAAAAAAGTCACATGACCAAACACATGCTGGATCTTATACAGTTTCTCCTAAAATTGCCAAGGCGAAAAAAACCTACACTGATGGTACTTTAGTTCAAAGATTTATTTATTGAAAGGGCTTAACTATAATTTGATATGTGGATCAAAAGCCTTTCCAAGTTGGACAGCCTTGCCCTAGAGTTTCAATATTTCCTTTAAGTACTCTTACAGGAGTTTTGTGTTCACACAAGTCATCTAACATTGATTTCATCTGCACCTATGCCTGTGCATATGATCACTTTACACGTGACTTAGATTAACACTGTATCTTATGCGAAATGGCAAACAAATACTCTTGGCGATGTGTGCTGTTGCAATGTGCATTGTGTGTTGAAAGCTAGAAAACACCTATTATCTTGTCCTCTGTTGTAGCTTAATCTTTGGACGAGAGTGCTTCTGTGCCATTTTGTATATGATACAGAGTTAATCAAAGGCGCATGTGACTTGTTTGCTCAGATATTGATGCAGCTGATTTCTTCAGCTTTAGGCGATGCATGTCAACACAACACTTGTGAGACCCAGGCCTAAATGACCCAAATTTTAATCGTGCAATGTTGGTAAACATTATGCAAAGCCCCACCAGAGGACAGCACCCCTATCTTTTCATCCAGTAATTCCATCCAAAATTAAAAAATGGAGTGATGAAAACAAGTTGAAATGCCTTGTGTAGCGATGAAATTAAACAACCTGAATACTGAATTAAACACTAAAATTTTTTGGTCTCCTCCAATGTAAATGTTCTTACGTGTAGGTCACCTATGTTGTTATCATCTGGATGTTATAGGGCCTGGGACTTTCATTATGAATTTATAAATGGGAAACACACATCTGAAATACTTTAGGAATATAGGAATTTACACGGGACTTTCATCACGGGAAATGTATAAGTGCAAAACGTGTAAATGGAGTTTCACTATATTGTTTTTAAACAGAAGAAGAAAATATCTATGTAGAGTGAATGTATGAAACTTGAAATGTAATTACTGAATATTCTGGAATAATTCCTTTATTTTTTTTTTCCAAAAATTGATAGCTGAAAATTGGATTGTGGGTATTATTCACATGAAGGTTGGTACCATAAACTTGATCAAATCATCAAACCAAAACTGATTTATCTTGATCTGGTTTTACTACAAAAGTACAATCCAGAATTCCTTAAAATTCTGTCGTCTAGTATTCAGCTTAATGGTTAAATTTTGTGAAAGATTCTACCTGAGGTATGACATAATGTGAGAAAAGGACATCACGTATTAGTATTATATTAGTAATTATAAAAAAAAGGTATGAACAGAAAGAAACGGTGAAATCTATGATTATTGCAAGTTTAGTCTAGGAAGGGACTGCTTTGACATCTACTGCTGGCAACATACCTGCAGGTAATGTCCATGCACTCAGTTTGTTAATGCCTTCTATTGCTGTTGGCTCATTTGTAAATGGCTTCTGAACTATTTGTAATGCCATTGTCTGTCACGTTTGTTTTCCTGAGTTATCAGATAGGTCCTTTATTAGAGCAACTTCATTAAACTGCATTATTCTATTCATTCAACTACAATTGTTACCTGACACGTTTCTTCAAGTTAAAACTGACTTGTTCAACACAGGTTGAACAGTTTTTCAGAAAAGGTGGTCATGAGGTTTAGGCTCGACAGAGTACATGAACATTTTATTTATAACTGTTGTTCGCTATTTAGATGTTTTTAATCAAGTATTGGACACTAAGTGCAAATCGCTAGAGCAGATTTGAATGCTACTTCATAGTGTAAACATGGAGACATCCAGACACCCTAAAAATCAAAAACAAATTTGAAAGTTGAATTTTTGAAATATCAGATTTGAATTTCCCACTCTTCTTTTGCTAGAATATTCCAGCAGTTATCAGGTTGCATTGCAACAATGGAAAGGCCATGACTCCATAATTCGAAATTTTCATAACTTCTCTTCATGGGGTGGGTTTAGTGGGTGAATAGAACAATGTTTGTTATTGTCAAATTTATTAGCTTAAGTTTTTTTGTGCCTATGATTGCCTATGAACCTTGCATGATGATTGGTAATGAGTTTTACTAGTGATGGGTGAAATGTGTAAATATGAAGAGAAGTTGCGGTACTACAATCTTATGTAACCGTTAGTGTGTTGAGAAAGTGTGTGTGCTGGTGTAGCACCACCGATTCTTTCCTTTCTATACTTTCCTTTTCCTTTGCTACCTCTTGATCTTCTCAACTATGCTCTGTTCTCCCTTTCCTTCCGCGCATTGATTAAACGTGTGCATTACCTGTGTGTGCCTGACCCTGCTGTAGGGGCATGGAAATGCCGTCGTCTCGCAGTCACACGCCCGACCCCCTGTCACCTGAGCAGCAGCCTCAGGGAGGCCAGGGTCCTTCTGGGCAGTCACCTGCAGGCCGTGGACCTGGGCCTAGTCCAACTATGCAACAGCGCATCAAGGCCATTGGGGTGCCTACGCCTCTTGCTATGTCCAGCCCTGTCAGAAGGTAAGTGTGCGATCTTTTATCGAGCAGGAGTTCCCCAAACAAAGACCAGATTTTCTGATTTTAAGACGTGTTGAATTTGAACATGGTGTCAAATTTCTTATCATTGGAATGTATAAAAAGACAAAATTATATAACGTTGTCCTTATTCATTGAAAGTATGTAAAATCTGGAATCTGGCCTTGGCTGTAATTTTGTAGAAATGTGGGCTGGCTACACAGGCAGCAAGTATCGGAAACTCACTGCATCATGCATAGGGTTGTTACAAGAGGCTGACATTGCACACAGCATGGACTTCGTGTAACGTTTGCACACTTCTTAAGACAATGGGTAGATAATTCCAGGAATGAAGCTCCTGTAGTGTTGTTAAGTAGTTTGGGCCACCTACAATTTTTGATGTGGAGGTGTTTGACATTAAACACACACACACAGACAATTTTCTTGATTTACATTAGGGTACAGGAAATCTGAATAGTTCTAATGTGACTTGCATATAAATTATCGAATTTTATTCCAGTTGCTTGTTAATTGCAATGATTTTTGTGTAGTACATTTATATATTTATAAATAATCCAAGCTTTAACATTTCTGTTTGGTCTTTTCATAATAGATTTTCTCTCATTTTAATTTTCAGATGATCTTGGTGATTCACTGATTTTAAGCATTTGCTAGTCTTATCAGTAGTTAGTAATGTACAATTTTGATAATGTGGTATGAGTATGAATTCGTATATTGGGGTTCGTGCATGCATTTGTATGAATATGTGTCTAAATATGTAGGGTGTTTCCCTCTGTATTAGATGGTTTGTGCTCCTCGTGGATGGACTGTAGCAGTCAGCATGGATTGCAAAATCAGTTCGTTAAATCATGTAGTTCTGTACCAGCTGGCAGTGATTTATTTTGATGCTCTAGAGTAATACAAACTGCTTTTGAAGAATTCACACCATATTTTTTACAACAACGAGAAAGAATTATGATATAAATTTTCAGGTCTGGTTACTTTTTTTAATTTTTTTCTCAAAGTTAATGTGTGGTGATATATGACTAGTAGTACTTGGTACAAGCTATGAAAAAGATAGTATATGCAATTTATTCTGTTCTGGAAAATCTTTTGTTGTGGCAGAAATAGTACTTAAATATCTAAGTTTAGCAAATGGACATTACAATGATTTGGTCTTAAATTTTTTTTCATCTATTAAGATTCTTCAATTCATCAGGAAGTACTATTCTGAAGAATCAACTTTTCTTTTAATTCCTTGTGGCAAAAATGGTATAAATATGTTAGTAATTAATGATAATTTTAAAATGAAATCTTCTGTATAATTGTAAATTATTTTTGCGTTTGAACATGAACGCTCTCTGGTACCACTTTCTTTTCAATGTTACAGTAAAAGTATGTTATGTTTTTTATAATCAAAGTGATTCAAGAGTCAGTTTTGAAGTTGAACTCGGATAAAGATTACCAGTGCTACATTACATCCCTGGGTCTCCCTTACTCACATGGTGCTCTGTAAGTTTGATTGGTTATTGAATTCATGCAGTTTAATGTTGAGGATTGTAATTACTTTTTAACTAAATCTTGAGCAAGGATAAAATTTGCCACTTGAGTTAATTTTATTTGTGAGCAGGTTGATTTATTCCATACCAAATATCCTGAATTTCAATCAATTTTCTTTTGAAGTTGTTAGATTTTTCATGTTAAGGAATTCTGTTCTGATAGGAAGATCAAATGAAGGATCTTAAGTTGTAGTTTTGGATTGTAAGCTAGTGAAATTAAAAAAAATTTTGGAGAAGGTATTTATTGGCATATATAAACTTTACACATTTACTGAGATTTGTTATTGACTTTTCCCGAAGTACTTGTAATTTATTAAAACATGGAATTCACTGAAAATGAATTTTACTCCTGATTATGTACATTAAACCTATGTAAAAGTAAAGTAGACAAATATTTGAAAATGCTTTTCCATTAACAATCATGTATGAGTTGTGAAATACTGCATTCTAATTCAGGTGAGCAGAATTACATGTATTGATAGTTCAAGCTATCAACAAGTTTTGCTAAAACCTTAGGTGCCAGTATAATGGTCTGCCCTCTAGTATAATAGTTTTCTTAAGAGAGCAACATGTTTTAAATACTAATGTATTGATATTGCAATGTATTGTAGTTAAGCTGTATAAACTGTTTACCTGAATACGAGACAACTTATGTTTAAAACTTCAAATTAGTTTCTAACAAGTACTATGAAGAAAATCACTGTACCATTTAATACAGAGATTATGTTCATACTAGTATTATATATACTCTTTTATATATACACTTTTATATATACTCACTTTATATATACACACTTTTATATACACCCACACACTTTTTATGAATTAAACTTGGTCAATATCTCGACTTTTTTTAACTGTAATCAATATAATCATTTATGTAGCATAATACATTTTTGCAGCTCTCTCACTTTTTAAAGCAATTTTAAAGAATTGGCTGTTAAAACTCCTGAGAAAGTTGCAAAGGCATGTCTGAATTTTCCAGACATTGGAATTGATTCATGAAATCTAGTAGCCGATTTTGTAACTGACACTCCCACTTTACCTGCATTTCTCCAAGCCATTCGCCAAGAAAAGTTGCATGGATATTACCATCGGAAGTGGATTTCTGGCATTATCCATATAGCTAGGTTAAATTCAGCCACAGTTGGTCAGAGGAGGATTTTTGAACTCAGTGATAAGGCATGGCATTTATTCATAATCATCCAAGATTTTTTAAATATTCGGCTTGTTTTTCTGAAGATGACTGGGAGATGGGGTATTGAAATATTTTCCCTTGGTATTACTTTTTTCATATTCTTTTTTTTAAAATACTGTGAACACTTCTGTCTGGGAGAGGTGGCACAGGGCATCAACTGATGGCACTGCTTTGCCTCTGACCGGGTGGTCCTAGGTTCGCATCCCTACGGTGGGACGATTTTTGACACTACCTGGTCACCTCTGACAAATTCAGCTCCTGTCTGGAGGAGAATTGTAGCGGCAGGCCGCTCTGGTCTGTAGTTTTCTGTGGTTTCTCCCATCAACACCTGGTGAATGCCAAAGCAGTACCCTAACAAAGGAGCCACGGACCATACACAATCTTTCATTTGTCTTCCTTGACCTATCTTCACCCCTTACTTACACACACATTGACTTGCACTACCCTATCACACATGCTGGGAGACCGGTTGGAAGTTTGGAGCTTGCCCCAGCTGGGGCAGTTCCCTGCTGGTGGGAGATACCTGCTTGAGGAAAACCCTGATAGCCGACGGTAGGCCAGCGCTGGATCTTGCCATCCAGTGGGGGAAGATCACTGCCACCTCCCAAGGAAAAAAACATTCATTACACTTTTGAGACCAATGACCTTAGCAGTTGACGCTACTGAAATTGCCAACAATTGATCAATCAACTGAAATTGAAATTAGTATAGAATTCTTTGATTCATTATTCCTGTGACAATAGCCATTGATGGAATATAAATTTTGGGTGGGGTGAAACTACAATTCACTGGCTTCAAAATTATATAAACTTTGCCTATTTTCCTTCAGATTAAGCTGAACTTGTAAGGGCGTATTATAATACCAATAAAAAAACCAATTATTTTTGCTGGTGCCTTTTGTTGGCCTTACCTTGTATTTCAAAAGAGCTTTGACACATTTACACTACCACCTGTAAGCTTAAAATCGAGAATTGTAAAGTGCCTGGTGTAAACTTTAACTTAATTTGTGGACTTTAATAACAAAGAGCAGGGTTGGCCTTTCTGCATGGTGAAAGTTTGGCGTCAGATATATTATATGAACCAATAATTTTCTTTTTTTTAAATTTTCTTAAAAGTTTTCCCATAATGCATAGGAATTAATGGAAACAGAACTAAAATCAGTAAAATTTCCTAAGAATCAGGCCACATTAAAAAACACTGCCCCACAACAATCACTCCCACAATAATATTAAGTGTTGGAATAACTAGACTTGCTAGGCATGTGTGGAGGCCACACAGCCAAAATTCTCTGTATCTTGCTGTGAGTAGGGGCACTTATTGCAATACAATAGAAAATTAAATGCTTTGAACAGTGGAGTTGCCTGCCGAAAGTGGATAGTGATCTCTCCATCCAATGTGATGATAATTATTCCTTTGCAATCATCTCATTTTATGATTATTCTCTGTAGGTTACTAAATGTTAGGGCATTGTGTTTTCTTTTGCGCTGCAATAAATGCTTGTACTCACTAAAGCATGTAGAGAATTTTGGCTCCATAACTAAAATTGTTTAATTATGCTTATGTATTAATTATCTAACACTTGTCTAAAATACTTAAAATGTAATATTATAATGTACAATATTATTTTGTTTGTTTATCACTAAATTGTTGATGTGTAGATGCCTTGCCACTAATATTATAATAATTGTATATTGAAAGAAAAATGATAGGGTTTGTTAAGAGAATTGATAGGTGAGTGCGATCCCCAACAAGCCTTTAGCGAAGTGTACAACAAATAAATCAGATATGTTTAGTTCAGTGATGTCAATTTCATGGTTTTATGAACGTCAAAATGATAACAAAATTCTGAAGAAATCACAACTCATTAGATGCTAGAAAACTTGTGCAAAAACTTTGAAAATACTCGCAGGTACTGACAGTTGACTGTTGAGAACTATGTCATGGATTGTATTATTGTGAAAGAGGTTCAGGGCGTGGAGCAGTAAATTTCCTAGTTATAAATTTCGGATAGGGATGGGTGGGGGTGTAAAGCTTTGTGCTCTGTTTTGCGTTTGTGTTGTAGCCCCAAATTGAATGCTGGTGATGAATGAGGTAAATTGATGAGGCAAATTGTCATGTGTGTTGAGGAAAAAGGATTGGTTGATTCACTAATCGTCAAACTGAGAAATAAAACAGCTTCATTCACCTTTTATACATAGTTTCATTTTTTAAATCGTTCATATTCACTGAAAGACATTGACTATTATGGGAAGTAATAAAATTGTCATGTATGCTTTATGAGAACCATCTTAAATTTCATGATATGGTTTGCTTGAAGTATAAAATATTTGGACATCTATCAATATTTCTTAGCTTTTGTTCTATTAACTCCAGTTACATATTATTTGTGTTCGACATTGTGTTTTTTGTTGGAACACTAATGTTAAATAGGAGGAACTGGAATGTTTGGAATTATGAAGTTCAATTGAAGATTGTGAAAGTAACTTCGAAATTTTGTGATATTTTGTGATTGCAAATGATCAGATTGTGATATGAGAAGAACTTATTTAATTTGAAATTTTGTAATTGACTTTTACAAGTGCACTTTATAAATTCATAGTAGGGTGAAGAGAAAAATTATACCATAGGGTTTCAGATGATTATTATTAAAGCCATGCTGATAACCGTTTTCTTAGACGTAACAAACATTTTTTTGTTAGTTGTAGTATAAAAGGAACAGACATTGTTATTGTGGTCAGAGGAAATTAAGAACTTTTTTTTTTCATTTATTGGGGCAAAACAACCGAAGTATTAAGCCCTTAAGAATTACAAAATTGAGAGGTGTTATGTATTGTGACCTTCGTTTTCCATTTTATTGATCGAATGGTATGGAAAAGTGTTACTTTTAACATTAAAACCAGTTTCCAGTGATAATTTGAATCTTAAATAATTTTTAGCCTCTAAAAAAATTAAATTTTGCAAATTTTTAAATTAACATAATACTTCAAAATTCCAGAATAACTTTTTATATTCTACTACCTTGGAACTGCAGAAATGAACACAATTTGGTTTTTAATTTTTATTGGCTGTTTTTTTTTATTAATTGCCTAAGATTTTCTATTTTACCCCCCCCCCCCCAAAGATGGGTAAAGTTTCTTCAGGTTGTACTTCTAAGCTAGAACATAAAAAGTGATCTTGTTTTTTAGTCTTCTTTTACTTGTACAGTGAATTTAAAAAAGAATTCCTTGTTTCCTGTGCAGATAGTTACTGGATGGATGTTACACTTAATCTTGCATCAAAACTTTTATCATGTGTAGAGCAAATGAACCCTTTCAACTGGGGTTGAAAAACATTCTTGGTATACTTTTTGAATAGATTCATATTTTGTAAAATAAGTAAGAAAGAAACAAGTTTAACCGTATAATTTTTAAACTGTTTTTTCTGACTACTTGAATGCAAAGATAATGTGTAGGGCTGTTATTATATTGAATATTAGTTAGGAAGAAAAAAAAATGACATCTAATGCTTTTAATTTGAAAAACATAATGTGAATTTTTAAATTATTTGATACAAATGTTACCTAAATTTCATCACAGCTTTTTAGAGGATTGCTTCACAAATATCTCAAAAACACTATGAAATACTATTTATTGCATCATTCACATCTCTTTCAAATTTTACAATATTGACTCTTAGATTTGAAAAGCCAAAACAAGAGCAATTCCAAAATTATTTTTTGTTTTAATGAATTAATTCAGATTTCCAGCATTGAAATTATTAGGTATTGTGGCAAGTTTTAATGACACAACACTTGAAATATTGAAGAAAAAAAATTAGTATTCACAATTTTTTATTTGACCATTTATTGTAAAAATGAAATGTTTGTTTGAGCAGTTCCAGTGTATATTTGTCATATTTTATTTTATATGGTTACCTATTTTTCCATATTTTATTTTGGTTTCCTATTATTTACAGAAACTTCATAATTTTATTTCTTCATTCTTTCTAAATGTTCAAATGTTTTTCTTATATTGATCCTGCAGGATAATGGTTAAAATGAATATTGAGGTTAATGTGTTGGCAAAATTTTATTTGGACAAAATTTATGTGAGTGTTAATGAGGGCTATGAGGCCCTATAGAAGAGAGTGCCTGCTGTGCTGTGTGTCAGTGTGTAGCTTCTGTGGAAACTGTGTATACATGTGTGTAGTGTTGTATGGTGAGTCACATGCTGTTGCCAGGTTGTGTTTATAAGTGTTGAATCCATTTTCATTCTACAATAAACTGAAGAAAGCTTAATGGATGATGAGTGATAAGCCATCTGTTAAGATTTTTCCACATAAATGCAGAGAGGAAGATTTGTCTACAAGTAACTGATTAGACTTTTCTGACTACTTTCTTTTATATTGCAGAACGTAAGAAAAATAGAAACACACGAAACTTTATATATTTTGTTGCAAATGTATCTTTTACTTGGCCTGATGTGATTTTGTTTAGGATGTAGTAAATATGTACATTTTTAATTAACTTTCTTCGTTTTTTCGTGAGAAAAATTGGGCGTGTCAAGGCGCGGACAGGATTTGAAACAGTGTGTCTTGGATTCAACACTAGCCTGGCCGGCGAAGTGACATGCGGCCATAACCCTTGTCTGTTCAGGTGATGTTAGACTCCAGTCGAGACATTGTCGGGATGCAGACAGCCAGTGTTTTTCTCGACACAAGCTTTCTTAGCCTCTCAACTTTCTTCAGGCCTTTCAGACGTATTCCCCCACAAGGTAAAGAGGAAGCGTCTCGTTTCTCCCAGTCGCTTGTTTCGTCTCTTTATGAGTTTCTTTGGTTTCTCATGCTCGGCTGGGCCGCGTCCCCGTTTGCCTGCGTAGTCCGTTACTTTTCTTGGCTCCTTTTTACTTTTAGAATGGTTTAGCCGAAGCCCTGCCCCAGCCGAAAAAAGAGCGGTTGCTGCTGCCCAGAGCCTCTTTGATTTAGCGGGTAGAGTCACGTATTCTTTTATTTTGCGGAGAATGCCGCGACGTAATGCTCCTTAAAAAACGCTTGCACAGTGCTGCTTGTTTGAGAGGGCGTGTGAACCGGCTAGCGAGACAACGCGCTACGAAGGCCTGGCTAGAATGGTATGGAATAGTTGAGTTTGGTTTGTGTTGGGAGGTCGCCCGACCCACGCTGTCTCCCCCCCCCCCACCGCTCCCGCGCTCCGTGATCGCCGTGTTGTGTCGTTGCGTGTTGGTCTGTGCGTGCTTGTCGCTTGCGGTAGATCTCCAACCCGTAGAAGGATGCTTCCTCCACCCACTGGGCGAACCCGACCGAAGACCAGCGCCTGCGTATCGCACAGGGTGGCGACGACGAGGCCACTGAGGTTCTAGAACGTGTTCCTTGAATGGCTATACTTTGGAGGTAGTGTACACTGGTTGGGGTCTTGAGGCGCTTGGATTCGTGTCTTAATCGTCCTCCCGCCTGCCGCATGACCACTCTTGTATGCATGTTTCTACCGACGGGAGCTGTTCGGAGGATGTTCGCCATTTTTTAAATGTATCGCCGTGGTCATTGCAATTCCATCAGATCGTAAATTAACAGAAGTAATTATATTTATACGAGATCAGTAAAATTTCTTCAAAATAGTTTAAATCATGGACTCGGATCACGGAAGACCTGACACTGACTTCTGTTCTTTCAAAGTTACCCACGACATGTACAATTTATTACCGGTTGTACTTCTTGATTCGTGAATTTTAATGGACTAAATGCATAAATTTGTGTATATTCAGATTTCTACTGACACCATGTAGAGGATCGCATTTAACGAACGAACTGGATCTCCGGCTCTTACTTACCCAGGCGTATTAAAGTATCTTGTGGTTGTCTTCGTTGCGCAGCCCTTGCGAGAAGGCGAACGTCCGGGGCAGCGCCCGAGAGGTGGATGCGAGAGGCGCGGGGACGCTTCGCTCGCGGGCTGCGCTCGCTCTGTGGCCCTTCGGCCCACTCCTGCTCCGCGCGGCGCTCCGCGCCCCACGCTTCCTTCAGCGCGCGCCCTCTGTGCCCTAGGTCCAACCCCGGGACGCCGACGCAGCCGCGGCGGCCGGACTTCATCGGCGTGGGCGGGCTGGCGGGCGGGCCGCCCTACTACGACTTCCAGCACGGGCCCGGCGGCGCGCACCAGGTGGCGCACCCCGGCGCGCACCACGGCGGCGGCGTGGGCGGGCCGCGCGCGCGGCGCGCCCGGCGCCTACGGCTCCCGGCAGCGCCGTTCTCCCGCTTCCCGCTCGGATTGAGCGAAGCTCGTGTGCGGGGCGCCCCTGTCGCAGTCCGTGTCGAGTCGCCTACTTCCCGCACCTACAAGCGACGGTCGATCGAAATCGCGAGCTCGGCCGGGCTCCCCGCAGTCGCGGCGGTCTTAGATGTGGAAGGACAACGTCGCCGGGCGCGGTACGCGGCTTCCGGGCCCAGCGGCGGCCTCCGCGGCAACGGCGTGGCGCCTCCCGCCCTCCGCATCGACCACGTGCCCCACGGCTGCCCGGGCCGCACGCGCGCGCCCCCTACGACTACTACCGCCTCCAACGCCCACTCAGCCCAGCCAGCAGGCGCAGGCGGGCCCATCGCGCCCGGCCCCGGCAGCAGCGCTGTACGGTAGTCGCCCGCGCCCGGGCGCGCGCAAGGGGCTACGGCATACTCCGCCCGTGCCGCGGCGGCGTGCGCCGTCTACCTCAGCCGCCCGCCAGTCGCCGCAAGCAAGCGCAAGACCGTATGGCGACGCCCACCACCCCCACGGCCATGCGGCGCGCCGCCGCCGCGGCTCGTTGCCGCCGGGCGCGGCGGGTCCCGCCCGGGGCGGCGGCGCCCCGTGGGCGACGGCTGCGGCCTAAGTCCTGGCTCGCCGCCGGCCCCATGTCCCATTCGTGCGCGCGGCTCGAAATGTCAGAACTCGATGGAGCTGACCGGCGGCGCTGTGGCGGCGCCGCGTCGCCCGGTCATCGCCCCGCGCGAGCATCGGTGGCGGCGATGGACGCGCACTCGCAGCCGCTCGCCACGCCCGACCGCGCCTCCGTCTAACGACATGAACTCACGAATTCGGGTATAGGGCGGCTACCCAGGGTCCGGCGGCGCCCGCGCCCGCGGGCCGCCACCCGCGCACCCGGACGTTGCCTGCTGCCAGCATCGCCGCCCCGCCCTCGGCGGCTAACAGCTACGTGGCGGGCGCGCGCCAACCTTCCCGCCTGTCCTGCGTCGCGGGCGCGGTCGCCCGCCCTTCGTTCTGAAGCCCCGCCAACCCCCTCTCCTGTCCACTCCTCCGCCACCCAACCCCAACCCCACGCCCACCGCCGCCCACCCCATCCCACCCCACCCCGCCCCACCGCCACTCCTACCCTCACAGGTCGCCGCTGCCGCCGCAGAGCTGCATTTTTTCTAACGTACGTCGTACAAAGGGACTCCACCAAGAGTTTATAGTGTATGTTAAGAGAGAATTATTAGTTTTTTGTCATGTTATGGTGTGTTGCGTGTGATGTTGATGCAAGTGAACTCTGGCAACTCACATGTGCTAATATCGTGTGTGTGTGTGTATGAAAACCCATCCTCTTGATAAATGGTTCTGTGTGATTGTACATCATATTTTAGATGAAAGGACATTTCACTAATTTAAAGAAAGTTATAATGTCTTATGAATTACATTCAGCGAGAATATACTGCATGTGAATCTTATGTAACCTGGATTTTTATCCTCTTGTAAATTTGCAAGTATGGGAATGGTTTTAGTTAAACTTGTGCCATAAGTTAACCAAGAAGCCTGTTCCTTGAGGCTGCTGGGCCACTCCTGTGTTGGCAGGATAATAATGTCCTGTGCTGTAATGAACAGGCTAACGATAGGAATTGCAGGAGTTGGCTGGAATGATCAAAGTCGGTTAATTTGGCAAGTACTTCATCAGGCTTACAGTACTTACTGCAAAAAGTCAATTGTCACTCAGTCTTGTCCGTGTTTTCATGAAGAAGGAAAGAAGAAAAGGAGGGATAGAGCAGATCGTACTTTTTTAAACCCAGCTTTCTTAATAATTTTGAAAAGCCTTTTTTTAAGATTTTGTGTTTTGTCCATAACTTGTGATTGATGATATGGTTGTGTTTTGATTAAATGAATGTTTTGTTTAGATAGTATTTTCACTTAATTTCATTGGCATCTATTGTGTATGATGCTTCTCTAACATTGAGAATCAAATTGTATGTAATGCTTATATTTGTTTTTTTGTTTCTTTTAAATTTTGGTTTGTAAATGTGAAGCTTTTTGTGAAGCCCTGGCATTTATGTGTATTAAGTGTATGAAGGAATTAGGATAGTCTCAGGTAATGTTCTTTCCCAGGGGGGGACTTCTGTGGAAATTCAAAAAATCATTATCTTAAGTTTGTTATAATTTAACTGTTTGTTTTGATGTTTATCTTTGTGATATTGCGAAATATCTTTTTGCTACAGTGTTGTGAAATATTCTTACTTGTTACTGTTATCAGTGGCATTCGCTTTCATAGTCAACCTTTGTCAGAGATGGTGCAGAGATCATAGGTGTTATTCTGAATCCTACCAGTATTAACCAACGGATTTCTACCAATTGCAGCCTGAGTTGCTAGGTCTGCTATTGTTCCTTGTAGCCTTGCCACTAGCCAAGATTATAAATGTCAGTTATTTGATTTTAGACTGATCTTGAACTTCAGTCATGTGTGAGTTAAGAGTTGCTTTTATTGTGTATCACAAGCTCGGTATGAGTGAGGCTCTTTATGTATTTAATCATCTTTTGTGAATGAAAATTCTTAATTTTTCTTATACTTCATGGGTGAGGTTACGTTGGCTCCATGTTATATTCAGGATATACTATTTATTTTTTATTTACCCTTAAGACTGTGACTTGGTGCGATGGCATTAGGATGTGTCTCATGAAATATTCAGTATTATGGCTGTCTGTCCTCAAGATATTCCTGCCTCCAGCTCGCTCCCATGCTGTCAGAAATACTTCTAATTATGTATAAAACTGCATTAGAGAATTCTTATGTGGTATATGTTTTGTTAAGTAGATTAGATGTGTACATATATATATGCAAATATATACATATATTTTAATGAAATGAGAAAATGTGTACCTTAGTGTGTGCTTCTTTGGATATGTTTTTCTGAGAAAAATGTATTATCTAATTTATTGATAGATCTGGACTTAAATACACAGTCAGTTTAGTTTATACGTTTTACATGTGCGATTTAAGTTTGGCTCTATTGCCTAGTGATTGCTTTGTGTTCTGTTATTAATGTAATATATTTTATTTGTTTCACAATGAAGTGCAGTTGACTGTTTGATATTTACATTTTGTTGTAAAGAGACCAATGTTATATAAGCATACCTTTGCTCAAATTCAGGGCACCAGTGGGAAGTGCCACTTGACTGCAATAGGCAAGCCATAAAGAATACTGTCTTACTAGTGACGGGATGTATGTAATGTACAGCGAGAAGAAAATCCATTAAAAACCGTTGTGTGGCATCTTTTGTGTCTTGGTTTTGAGTAAATCAGTTATTTTGCTTAAATACTGTTCTATTCTGAGGCCAACACCTTGACTTCTCAGATACCAAATATTCTTTCAATGTGAACTGTGGTATAATTAAATCCTGAGTGTCACCTCTCAAGGAAAGTCCTAGACACCATCTGCTTGTGTGTACGTAGAGGAGGCCCCAGCAGGTGAACAGAACTGTTAAGTATTGCTGCTTCTAGCCTGATTGACAACCACTTCATACTGGATGGCTTACAGTACTTGTACATTAGCCTGTGTATAAAAATCTATATTTACCTACTCAATACTTGTATATGATTGTATTTCAACCCAGTGTTTTGATTTCCTTATGAGTATTTGAGATTCTAGTTACACAAACGGTTTACAAGTAAAAAGATGGTTCTTATTTGTAATACTAATACAGTTTCAATGTACTATACTGTGTGTTCACGTAATTTGAATCATGTTACATTGGCAAGAATGACTTAAATGTATGGCGGTATTTGTATGACTGTAGTGCCCAGATTGGCTTGCCAAATATATCATACTATTGTGTATGATTCTCTGGTATTTCATTTGTTTTTAAAAGATGAAATCATTAACGACAAGAACAACAATTAACACAATAAAACTTCCAAGAGATTGAAATGTTGCAATTATTTTTCCTCCCATCAAAGTATTTCATTTCTTTACAGAAGTGCTGCAGTTAGCTCTAACTTCATTGCAAGGTAGAGATGAACAGTAATATTTAGGTTACAATTTTTTATGTTATAGGATTGTTTTAAAAATGTGGGTTAGGAGAGGTTGGACGTTTTAATGCCCCATTGAGGCCCGTAAGACGTATTAGGATAATGTGTTGCGCATTTTGCTTTTCCTCCAAATATCTGCATGTATTAGTAATGAAAATTCTTAACGAAAATGCAAGAACTAATTTACGTTCTTATATTGTTTATTTTTTGAGTTCCCGTAGCCAACACGAATTTAATTACACGTAATGTCATGATAGGTGAACTATTATCCAGCAATGGCAGGGACGCATGGAATTCTCAATGGTGATTTCAACTGATACCAATGCGTATATATATTTTTTGTTTTGTATGCCCTGTTCGAAGCACTCAGTGTGGGAGTTGGCAACATTGAATTTACGCCTAGCCATGTTTAACATGGAGGGTTAGGAATTTGATGTCGTGTTTTCACGCATTTCTTGTCAGTGAATTGTGTTCTATTGCTGACAGTATAGCCAATTATTGTGTTGCAACTTGTCTTCTGATCGCACCAGGTGAAAACGTCTTTTCTTCCCAAGAAAGGATATAAAAGAAGATGGATGATTTAGGTAATTACTTTGCCATTTGTTTAGCATTCCTTCGTCGAGGTGTCAGGAAGTGGTAAATTCCGCATGCTTTGTAAGTTATGAAAGCGAGTAGTGTGACAGTTATTATTTATCTTGTTACTTGGATTTTTGTAGAAGTGTAAATAACATATGGTGGTAACAAAAAGGTGATTGTAAAAAAAATGTTATTTTCATGTTCTCAGTTGTCACATACATCATAAAGTAATTTGTTATATTGAGCTAATGATAGCCGGTCAGAAAATCGCTCATGTGTATTTTAGAGAGAAAATGCGAGGGTTAGGTCTGCGTGCAATATAGCAATTTCACAGTGAATAAACGGGACAAGTTTGTGATATTTCATTCGTGTTTTGTTTTTGTTTTTTTAATCTTATGAGTCAGGACATCATTCCCTGTAAATGCAGAAACTTCGTTCACTTGATCCTAACTGATCGAGCGTGTGCTGCAACACAATCACGCGTGGTGTTCTGAGTCTTCCTCGCTATAGGCACGTCGTGTCTGCCTCGCCTGCCAACCGCCCGCCGCGCTGTCGGAGCGCTGTGTTGACGCGTCCGGGTCGCGATCTCGACCTGATCCGACTCGATCACTTACGAAAATAGCGAGCCCTCCCGAAGTCTTTGTAAGCGCAAGAGTACTGAAGGGAACATTGCATGTAGGAAATGCAATAAGTAAAAGGAATTGTGCGGGTCAACAGAGTTTTCATGGTCGTCTGCTCTTCACGCCTGTTATATGCTGCAATGCAGGATTATTATTTAGGTCGGATAGTGACGAAATGCGAATTTGATTTTAGTGTTGATATTCTTGTATGAAACAATTGAAAAATTGTGATGTAGATTTTCTGAATTGTATATTCTTTCGGTTCTAGAGATAAGGCATACTACGCAGTCTCCAACTTTTTTTTCTGAACTGCATCGCTCTAGGTTTAGTTTGTGACATTAAGAGTGAATATATTTCCGAAATATAAGTATTCATTTGGTAAGAATCAAAAAGGATAAAAATGAAGGCACTGGCGATTGTTATTCGCTGACCATCGACCATGACAACTTAACCATCGATTGTTAAAATGATAAATGACATTTGGATTGTCGAAGTTCTGGAATTGGCCGTGGAATATTTGACCTGCACGCCAATGTAATTGTCTATGAAATAGAGTAATTAGTATTTTGATATAATTTAACTCCACACACTATTTTCCTGAATATAATTGGTTCAAGAGTATGAAATATGTCACACCGTTAACGACTTTTATGTATGATAATTTACAGGTTTCAAATGCGAATTTCGAATATTGTTAATAATTAGAATTCTTATAGTTATGGATTATCAGCAAACTGATAGAGTCCGGGCATAAAACATGCTGCAAAGAAATATAGGGTGACGGGGAAGACCATCTGGAAGGTTTAATAATAGCTTATGAGCTCAGTCGGAAGAGATGTCGGGGGAGTAGTACACCAGGCCTCGACACTTGCAGTTAACGACGAAAGAAAATAAAAGCAGCAAGCGTATCTGCTAACTAGACGCAATAAGTCGCTTTCGAATTGGAAGTAAACATGCTGTGAATTTTTGTGGTATAAAGAACGCGCTTTGGAAGGTCTGAGTCAGCTAATCAGAATTTGTAAAATAATTGAAGGAATATTTTCAAAGAATTCTTATATTTCAAAAGATGTACAGTATTTGCTTTACGCAACACACCGGAGACAATCGAAGCGAAGGAAAGTAAACATATAAACTTCCTTTGCTTTGGTGGTTTTCCGCTATTGGAAGGAAACCTACATTTTGCTCGTGTTTCAAATTACTGGCTTGTTCTTTAATAAGTTCTATAATAATGACGTTTGTTTTATTTTATTTTCCAAATTTTTAGATATTTCAAATAATGCGAACTATGTCTTGCCTTGCCTTCTAGATTCCTACTGTTTTGTTTACGTACATACAATTAAATTATTATCTATTTATAGTGGTTATATATAGTATATTAACTACTTATATGTAATAATATAAATATTTAATATTGTATATAATATATGTTATTCTGGATATAATAATTGTAAGAAAAAACACTGTGATTATTTCAATTCACCTACGTGAACATTGAAAGGCAGAATATTACTATTCTCCTTCCGGAATTTCGTTACGAATTTCTTCATCAGATTGACACACCTAATTTCGTTATTATCGAAAAAAAGTCCTGGGTGACCTAAATCGCATTTTGTAGTTTTAAAGCCACCCACGAAGGTGATCGCGGTGGTTATTTGGACATATATAATTTCTAAGTATAGAATCAACGAGTTTAGTTCTCAAGAAAATACAGACTTCTTACATTGAGTGCGTTGGGCACGTGTTGTTATAAGATTTATGATATCATGTTAAATGTGTGTTATACACAAAATGTGGCCTGAAGTGTGTGAACAATTCTTTATTAACAGCAACAAAATGTTCAAAATGCACTTACAGGTGAACAATTTATACTCGATTTCCTACAGAAATTTTAAAAATGTCTCAAACTGCTAAAAATATAAAATCGACCGAAAACCATTGAAAATGTCGAAAACTGCGCGAAAAAAGCTCGAAGAATGCGGCCATGTCTGAGTTTTTACATCTTCGAACCGTCCAAAAATATATTATTTCTTACGATGCGCAGGCTTACGATTACTATTACTATTGGATTATACGATTACTAGTTTCATAGGATCTAAGATTTAGATGGTTGTGCCCTTAATATTACAATCCGTTAGAATCTTTTTGACTGGCCAACTCCCACTTCCTGCCAGTGACTTCCTTCGACTGGCTAACCTCCAGGCGCGGTCAGCATGGCTCCTGTCATGGTTCCCCTATTTTACTCCGAGGTGCCCCATGCTTTCGCTGTGTTACGTATTTATCTGTGTAGCGCAACCCGTGGGTCTCGCTCGACATGCCAGCCGGGCTGGTATTTACTTGACTACACTCCGTGGGTCTCTTACGCGTTTCTGGAGGGGGTGATTAAAAAAAGTGGGATGGGGTACCGCACCCTAAGGAGGAGGCTGGGGAAGAAACAAGTTGTACGTCCTCGTCTGTGCGCGGGCGAGGTGCGGGTGGAAGTGCCGCCGTCGGGCGCAGCGGAGCGCGCTCGTCGCTAGGCGGCGGGGCGCCGGGAGGCTGCGACGGCCTCGGCCTCTGCCTCTGCCGCTTCGCCCGGCCGTGACCTTGCGCGTGCCCGCCGCACGTGGGAGNNNNTGGGGGGGGGAGGGGCGGCTATAGATACACTTATGGACGCGGTACATATCCGCTGTGTTCCTGCGTAAAGGAGACTTAGATATTCCGTGAAACACTTCCTTTGCCTCGAGGTACTTTACTTCAGTGCTCACTGGACAGCTCATTTTCAATCATTTGAAATTTAGGGCTGAACTTTCAAAACATGTTAATAAGAAATTTTTGAATGGGATGTTTAATTAGCATTTTGTGGTAGGGCATGTTAAAAGGCGGCCCGCTGCGCGAGGTCGCTAAAGCTGAGTGCAGGAGCAAATTATTGACCTGTGTGTTGTGGCATGTACAGCTGTCTTATTTATTATGCATCACACTTTCTACGGTATCCCTTTGGTCATGACCTGTTAAGGGGGTAGGAGGGTTGCGTAGGAGCATGCGCTGGTTACACTTGGACGGCGCCATCCCCTAGTACGAGTGTGGTGCAGGCGCTTCCAGATTGCGTTCCTTACGTTTCTCATGGGACACAGCAGAGTGCTACCACTCCACTGGCTACTTACTAAGAGGCATAGAGATGCTCACGGGGGTACGCGAATACGGATAAATAAGAACATACCGGAAACACAGTTCCGTCGGTCACCTCGGTGTTAGAGGGGGGAGCCTTGGCTAGTGCCATGGTGGCCGCGTTTGGAGATTAGCGATTAGGAAGAGTTGAAAAGATCCAAAATGGATGGTAAGTCTGGAGGGTACAACCACCTAAGCAGTGGTTACTCGAAGCCTTGAAAGGGGGTAACAGGTATCAGATAATAAACTACCAATGTAATATATGAAATAGAGCAAATTATGACTCGCTTATTACATAAATTCTCATATAGAGGAGAGGGATATGCAGATTTAGGTGGCTCAGGAAATCAACTGATGTCAGCAATTCCTCTGACCGGGAGATCCTAGGATTCGAGTCCTGACAGTGGCAGGGTTTTGGACACTAGCTAGATAGCTGGATCGAATTCACCCGCTGTTTGGAGGAATACTCGAGCGGTTGACTGCTAGGAGCGGTAATTTTCTGTGGGTTCTCTGATCAATATCACCGAATGCCCAAATAAACGGGCCCATGAACCGTGCGCGATCTTTCCTCCGTCTTCCTTGTCCTATCCTCTCCCTTCCCGTCACATACACACTCGCACTTACATGCATTTCACCAGCGCAGATGTCGGAAGCTTGGAACGTGGCCCGACTGGGGGCGTGGTCGGGAAAATCTGCCAAGACGACGTCG